TTTCACTCCTTCTTTCTGATTCGTTGTACTCTTTGATAACGTCCCGTTGTCATGCGAGCTCATCATTGCCCATGAGCACATGGAACTGAACCTTATCTTTTGGATTTTATTCACTACTTTTCATTGCTCTTAAAACCCATATTGGGTCTGTTTCCTACTATTTGAGGGATTTTGACTTGTTTAATCCAAATCTAGCTTCGATAGTGGCTGTAGGGCCGAAACAAATAAAAAATTGGCACCGGGGTGGATGACCTTCAAGCACCTCTCCTTTTTTTCCGCATCACCTTCAATCGAATCTTGAGTCCAGGCATTTTTTCCTCCCCAAACATATACCATGGCTGAATGTATTTATAAAATTCTCACGGGATTATGGGAGTACATCACCTGACATTATCTGTGGTTTAGCATGGGAGCTTGTTTGTTATTTCTACACCCATATACACACACGGGAAAGCATCAAGACCCAGGTAAATATCTGCATCACTGAAATCGTTTATTTCATTCCTTTAAATAACTTGTTTAGCAGGGTGAAAAGTTACTCTTAAAAACAGTGGCATATTGAACTGTGATACAGCAGTTATTATTTGGCCAACGGGTTCCCCCATTTCCTAACTGCCTGATTTGTTTGTAGGAGGGTTGACCATGGATTTGGATAGGCGAATTAATTGTTTGAGAAAAAAAAACGCAGTTATGATTTGACCGATCAGCAAATGTTAAAAGAGTAATCTGATATAGACAAGAAGGTTTCTTTTAATCACGAATGTCCTTCAGATCTACCTACGTACACCTCTTAGACTACGAGACTACCAACACCTGTTAGTTTATGGTAAAACGGAAAAAAACTTAAGGTACACCGTAGAAAGAGTTATACTTTGCTTTTATCTTAGATTGCACCGTCTCCTCTCTCAACTTTGCCCCACGTTTCCATTCTGGGCATATCTCAAACATTCGTTGCATTGCCCAATGTCATCAGACAGCTAAACATCGCCCACTAACTCGGTATCTCGTGTCCGGTGGTGGTCGTGGAATGCTAGTTGCCTGGCGTCTGGACGAGGCTGATCAACCGGGTCTCGTCGGGTGGGTTTGTTTGGACACAAGTCTGCGAGGCACGGGTCCTCTTATCTCCTGCCCTCTTGAACGGAAAAGAAGCGCTACATTTAGCGTCTGTGATCTTAGGATTATGGCCCTTCTAGCGTTTCAACAGAGAGAGGGGGATAACATCAGTGTTCTTGCCGCTTGCTCGGATGGCAGTATCAGGTAATCCTCGCTCATTTTTTGTCGTGTAAACTTTATCCAGGGTGGAAGCCTCCACTTTTCCCCTCATAATGCCTTAAAATTTGTCATCTCTACCTGCCTTTAACTCACTTTCGGTATTCTTTGTTGCTGGCTCACTTTTTTATAATAAAATTATCCGATACGGAACGAACTGAAGATGGTAGTTACCATTCCGTGTTACCTCAGGATTCGGATTAAGTAGAAGTGCAAAGATCAGACGTGTGTGTGTGTTTGACGTAGTGATTTGTTTGTTATTTGTGGCTGAGAAGCTCCAAATATTTATACTGTTGGAGATGGGCCCTTGGAATGGATAAACAGATTTGTTGCATATTCTTATCTGTACACACACATAAGGCAGAACTCAAGACTGAGGTATCTCATTTGAAAAGTAGTTGAACATTTCCCATGCACTTCTGATGTTGTCAATTTCAAAGTAATGTTTTTTTTTGTGCCTGGGGAAATTCTCATCTCATATAATAACTGAAGCGGTTTTGCGATCCTAGATCTACCTACTTGGGCTGTTACCATGATTAGTTTTTAAGGTTCTTTCTTCACTCCTCAAGGTTGTGATTATAGACAGCTATAATGTATGAGACACAATTTAATCCGCATTTTGAGGTGATTTTGGACTTTCGGCACACCCTCCGATTAAGCAAAACTTTAACCCATTGTTTCCCATTATTGCTTCCTACGTAAAATTTTGGCAAACATTTTGAAGTGCAGGGAGCGAAGACTTGCCAGGTCGCGTACCCCACCTCCCCCCTCCTCTTCACAGTTTTAAACTATGAAGAAAATCCCAAGAAATATAATTTTGCTTTTTGTAGTATCCACCTTCTGTAATTTATAGTTGAGTTACTCTCTGCAAACTCATTCTTCACTGCCAAGTTCTCCGAGGCCAAAGCATCACCACAGCCCAGGCGTAGCAGTCCTTCCTCAAGTTTGTGTGTTGCCTACAGGCTTCCGCATGTATATGTTTGACACACATCACTTTGTCGTTGAAGCTACGTGACACTTGTCGCATCCTACTATGCAGCCTTCTCTATCCTGTCCCGTCTGTCAACGAAGCGTTGCACAACATCTTTCGCACCTACCTGGAACTTTGTTTGTAATCCTGCGCACTTTATTTTTTTTTTGTCATAGTAATCTAAATAAAAAAAACTAAACTAATACAGTTTATTTCGCGAAAAGAGTGATGGGAAACATGATCTGCGGGTGTTGGAACCATCTGAAGTATCAAGCCCCGATGACCAGCCTCGGTGCCACGTTCACCGACTAAGAGTTCAAATGTTTCATTGACACAGGCTGTCATTAACTAGTTTGATCAGTTTAAATAATGTTTTAAAAGTAGGAGGGGAAAAATGAATTTATAGTCAGACTAATAATATTTTATATCCTTTTTATTATTTTCAAATCAACTAATCTGTTTACTGCACGCAATTAAGTCCAACTCGTTATCACCACATGTGGTGCTGGTAGTTAACGCGTTAAATTCGGCCGCCACAATTAATCAAACTTTCGTCTTTGTTTGCTTTTTTATTAAAATAAAGTTATTATTTTAGGATATTTATTCAGTTGGTAGACAGCTAACTTACCAAAACAAATAGAAAGTATTGCCTGAAATAATCATACACCAAAAGTGTCGTTTGCGACATTTTTCTGTTTAGTCAGGAACAGACTAAAGACCTCAAAGTATGGGCTGTGAAAAATAAGGTTTTTAAACTTTGTGTTGCTTGAAGTGCTGCGCAACTTGGTGGACCTCTTGGTTCGTCCTCACTCATTTACTTTCTACAGCACCTATACGGACGTGGAAATTTGCCCCTATTTTGTACAATAAAACAATAACGTCACTCTTTCTCTCATTCTTCTCCAGGAAGCAGATTTAATTATTAATTATGATGAGCTATTCTTCTTGTCTTCTTTACTATGCGTGTAAGTAAGACTAGCCTTCTTCTGTAGCAGCAATAGAAGCGTCGTATGGTTTCGCCCCCTAACCCCCCCCCCGTCTATTCTCCTTCCTTCTCCCACCCCCACGACATGACTGCATTTCTTTCTATCTCCTATCGTTCCTTTGAACAACTGGGGTGATTGAAAGAAATATGCATTTTCTACTTGCCCTTAGTGTCTGCTACCATTTACATATCAGTTGGGTTTTTTTGGGGGAAGCGCGGGGGGGAGGGGCCCGAATTCGTCCCTGCTTACGTACGTACGCATGTGCCGGCATTTTCGTTGATATTTATTGTCGAAAGGCTATTTAAAGGAGGCCATTTTCGTTCCATACCCAAATTACGTTTCTAAAACATTTTTGTTTTACTTTGTGCCAGACTTTGGTTAATGGTTGGCTGGATGACTACTTGATGCGATATGCCGTACATTTAAGTTCGGTGGTCCAAATCTACCAGCCGTTTAAACCTTACTCGACTCCAAGGCTGGCACTTTTAAATGCTCTTAAGCTCTCCAAGACGTTTTGAGATTTGTACGAGATTTTATCAGTTGCAACTTGACATTATAGGGCAAATTTTACCTTCCGTGACTACTAATTACAAAAAGCAGATTGTGTTTGGTTAAAATTTGCTACTGAATTGATAAATTGAAATTCATTAGCTGACTTTATTTAGCGAGCCGAAATTGATAAAAAAGTGGATTGGGATCTCTTAATTTTGAACCAGACCAGATATTTCTTTGTTTCATTATTATTCATAAAATAAAGAAGTATGGTGACCTCGGGGTCAATCTACTTCAAACGCATGATTTGGTGCAAGCAGTTACTCATTATAAAGCGGTAAGGAAAAGGTGTCACTTATATGTGATTCCAGGTTGGGTCAGGAAAACCAGTGCGTCTCATATATGTGACACTAGTAGTGACCGGACTTTAAATTATGCTACAGAAGGCAATTTTTCTGTTATCAATCTTTTTAAAAATCTCTTTAGTTGTTTATATCTACTATTAGCAAACACCAACATTTTCAAAATTTTTTTAGAAAGTGGTTGACGTCTTTTCTCTCCTGCTTTGTCAACTTTGTGTATCATAGTCCTGTCACCATTTTAAGGTGATTGGCCCTAGAGGTTAACTCTATCCTTGTATTCAAAAGGGCTTTTTCGCAAACGATAGTGCATAGCAAGGAAAGAAGAAAGTAGTCTACATTTCTCTAAAAATAGTCCAGGAATTTAAATTATTTTTCAGTGGTCTCTTAGAGGATTTAACTCTGTTGAAGTGCCAGTTTGCAAACTTTAGCTTCTTTGCATTGACAAAAAGGTTCGCCTTCTCGTTCTTTGTCTAAGTCCGGTGACATTTCAAGCTGAAGGTGAATTTTTATGAAAAAAACCATCTTTTTTCGTCTTGGATATGACGTTATGGAAGGGGAACAAAAAATTAGGCAGTGGTAAGAACTGCCTTACTTTTGGTTTGTCTAACGTCTGCTGCTGTATTGACACTTTCACACTCATTTTTGGTTTACCTCGAGGTAATAACCTTCCATGACTTTGAGTCGTTTATTTCCATTATAAAGACGCAACAGGTATTCGTATATCACTAGCAATCTTGATTGTTCTCTACCGTTCAAATTTGTCCACTTCAGGACTTTAAACTCACCTCGGAAGCTGTTTAGCATTTGATAAGGAAGTTAAATAGATAGATTTTAGGTAGTTGAAGTGCCGACTGAAGCCCTCGTTCTTTTTTTATCCTTTTGAGGTGGTTAGCACCAGAAGTTACACTTTTTCTCGCATTTTTGTGCTTGACAGAAGAAGCCGAACTCAAATGAAATGGAGGAGTGAAAATCTCGATGCCATAAATGCCTCATGTTTACATTAACTGCTTTGGATCCCAAATTCACTTTTTTCTACTACTAAATGTGCACTAGTACTGTTTTTGCTTGCATGAGAAATCATGGATCTTTATTGTGGCGTTTTAGACGTCCATATTTGGCCGGAAATGTCACACTCTCTAAATCGTCCATTTGACATGGAACTAGCATGGCGTAGCGAAGAAAAAGGTTAATATCCTTTCCATTTGTCTGGGATGTGGCCCTACTTGGTAAATTGCTATTCAGAAAGTGGAAATGTCATTAGGCTTTCCCAGTGATAAGACACTCAGCCACGGTAAGACGTTTCAATGGTGTTATCGTCTTACAGATGCCTGTACAGCTATCATGACAATCTCGGCATCTCTTTTTGCCAACTTGTCAAGAGTCTGCAAGATCTTAGAAGGCTGATTGAAGTACCACCTGTCGTGTGGCAACATCGCACGGAGGACGAGTCTTTCTGTTGTAATGGTGAATGTAATACAATTATTAACGGCTGCTAGCTTTCAACAATAAAGTAGAGTTGAATGACGCTCCAGGTCGGGGGAGCCTTTTGACAATGAAAGCCAGGATTTTCTGAATTGCAGTGAAGTGAACTGTCCGAGGCTATTCTCTAGCTACTGGTCAAACTCAGGGATAGATGCATGGATTTTTGCTCTCACAAATGTTTTTTTTTTACCATTCGTAAGCTTAAAGGTCTTTCCTATCCTTTCCCAGTGTGGGTATTTATTTTCACATTCACCGACTTCCAGTTAGTTAAGAAAACTAGTAATTGGGGAGCACACCGCGGATCGCGTCTTGATCTGCTCCCAGTTATCACGCATTTCTGGTTGACATTTGTATGGAGTCCGGGATCTCAGCCTGAACGCGCTTTCTTTCCGGCTGTGGCGCGCACGTTTAACCTCTTTCTCTAGTCGAAAACCGAATTCCATCTTTAGAGCACTCTCTGGGCATCCTTACTTTTTATCCTCCCGTAAATCTTTTATTTTCTTCTTGCGTAGATTTTCGTTTGTCTTCCGATGTGGAAATTCCCCCTCCTTTTCATTTACTCCTACGTCTTTTAGCTAAAGCGAGTGGCTGCAACATTTGTCTCGTTAGTCGGTCGAAAATAAGTGAAATGAATGAGTACTTTAAGTCCCTTTGTACAGTGTTCTTTTGTTGTTCATTTCACTGAATAATGGTACTTAATGATTGTTTTATATGATAAACAAGATTTGATGTGATTATAATATCGAATCTAGCTGGAGGGGAGGGGGAGTGAAGTGGACGGATATCTGCTTGAATGGACAATTAATATGGATGGATATGAAAGCATATGAAAGGATGAATGGCTGAATAGACGCGTTGTCGGTCAAATTGACTCTTAGCTAGAGAGATAGATGAATGGTTAGTTGAAGCGGAGAACAAGGAAACACTTCACGGTGCCGGAGGCATGGCAATCGGATGTATGCATGAGTGGATTGGCGAGTGCTCGGACGGATGGAGGGCTGTAGGAATTGCTCAGTCTTATGTACAAATAAATCCTTCATTTTTAAATTAACACCCTTAATTTTTTCCTGCGCATTAAAGTACACTACCATTTCACCGCTAATTTCTAGGAGAGAATGTACATTTTGATTGGTTTTTTAGGTAAACACCATACTTTCGTCCACTTACCTTCCCTGTAATTGTTCACCCAGCGCATCAGTCAGTAGCCTTCCCCGCAATTTTAAGGAAACTGCGTTTAAATTTACTGTTGGATTTGGACAGGAAGGGGAGATATGTAGTTACTTTTCAGGTCTTAATTAAACTTGGCTATTATCATCAGGCATTTTCTTTCCTCTCACTACCACTAGTCACGTATGCGCACCGAGGGTACTGTGTATCCATTGGCTACCTTTTTTCTGGCGCTGGGGACTAAAACTACATCTTCAAGTACATACTTTCACGGTGAGGGTGATGATTAATTGCTTACAGGCTCGATTTGGGCTACTTCACAGGCATTTGCGTCATCTCTTCCAAAGGAATGTATAGCCCGACTTGGCATTTAATCCTTTTCTCTCTCTCCCTCCTGTCGCATTCTTTCTTCTCTCTTATTTCCTTTCAGACTTGTCAAGATTAGTCTGCCATGCGAGTCTACTGGATGGTTGCCTCGATTCTACCAACTTGCCGATTTTCGAAGTGGACATAGACGGAGTTGCATCCTCAGTCTGTGCTGCATAACTCAACCAACTGAAAGCCGAGTTTCTATTGCCTACAGCAACACCAGTGGAGTTGTGGAAGCATTTAAAATAGATCTTGATGATGGCAGCCTCCACAAACAACTCTTTTCACTTCATCTGGAAGTGGAAAATCCCACCACAAAGGCGGTGGCCTCATGTGCAGCAAACTCGATCGCGATGTTGGCTGATCACATCGCGATAGCAGGTGACGACGGTAGTCTCCGATTGGCCAACTTACGGGGCGTTTGGATCACCAAAGCAGTCCGACACTTTGCGGCCGTTGTCAAAGTCACCAGTCTGTCTAAACAAAATTGCCTGTTGACTTTGGGTGCTGATCATCGACTGTTGCTGTGGCAAGTTATGGAGGGTGCTAAACTCTCCGTTCTTTCGGAGACGATGTTGACAGGACTAGGAGATCCTCAGAATATTTCCCTCCTCCCAACCGACGAAGCCGAGAAGGCGTATTTAGCAATGGTTTGCGGTTCCGGCCTCCAACTTTGTTATTTCAAATTTGACCAATAAATCACCTCACAGCATTCCAAGGAGTCCTCTTTTCAATTATTTTTTGCTTTGATTTTCCCCCCTCAAAGTTGGTTTGTCTGAATCTTGAAATCCATCTCCATGCCCTGCAGGGAAGAGGGAGGGGGAATTACTTTCTTGCCAAGTGAAATGATGCATTAAGTGAGTAGCAGCTTTTCCGAGGTCCGTTTAACTTTTTCTTCCCTCGAGCAAAAAAATTGCACGATGAAATAATTTTACCTCAACTTTTAGAGCTGTAATAATAAAACCCTACTCATTAAATTTTTTTGGTGGCAAAAGTGCGCCTAACGAAATGGGTGAAGTGGTTTACAAGTCGCCATTTTGTTTAAATCAAGTGCCGTTGGAAAAATTTGGAGTTGGGTTTAAAAATTCTGCCACCAAGTTGAACTACGTTTCCTAGTACCATTACTCACTGTCGATGGTCATTTTCCAACCTTGTGTCATTTTACATTTTTTTAACAATGGGCCTTACAGCCCACTTTTCCGTCTCGTGATCGGAAAACAAAGTGACCGGCTTGTTTACAAACTGAAGTGCCGTGATTGATGGGTGTTAGGCTGTCTCAACGACACAGTGAGGAGTCCTGTGAAATCTCCTATGTGTATGTCACTAGCTGATATCAGGGGATTTTTTTGGATGTTTTGTGATCTCCTTTGTCGTGGAAATATCTTTTGCCTTCCACAGCAGTCACGACCTTTACAGGCATTTCAGCAAAAATGTATTCGACGCAATATTATTTTGCTGGGGTATAAAAACTTTTGTATGTACAGAAGATTGTTTTGTGTGTGTGTGTGTGTGGAGGATGACAGGAACCAAAATAGAATTCCGCCTCGTTTCCCTTCGTGTTGGACATTTTTATGCATGCCAAATATTGCAGGGAAGAAAGTTCAAAACGAAGCAGTTGATTACCTTTCACCACAAGAGGTACATCTCTATTTTTTTTAATTACAAAGCAATCTAGATACACGAGAGGCGAGGCAACTCTCAAATCGGTAGCTGTGATGTACTTCATTCCGCACGTAGAGAGAAAAATGCATTTGCAAGGATAGATACGCCTAATATGGCGGTGGTGTTCGACAGTTTCCATTTCTCCCGTAGTCACAAGTCCTCTCTCACTCAACGGATGGAAGGTTCAGTGCATTTCCAAGTGTATAAATCACTTTAAAAAGGGGAGGTGATGACAGGTTTGATTGCTAGCTGAGAGAGAGAAGTCGTGGTAATGCCCTGGACCAGGTTTGATTTGGCGATGGTGTTTGGACGTGGCAAAAGTGAATGCTGGAGGGGGTTGGCGCTGTCCTTCTACTTGACAGGGCGAACTGTTGAGTTGCTCTATCCGTCACGGAATCCTGGTGTAAAAGTGGTCTCACCAATACCCACCCTTTGGCAGTATCACTTCACTAGGCAAAATCTAGTGTGAGAAACACCAAATAATTAAGGAAAATGGTCTCCACTTTAGATAATTCTTGCCTTTGGTCTGAGCCTAGAGCACTGCAGTTGATTCTGATGTCCCAAATTTAGAGTTGGCTTGCTTATGGAGAGGTAGAGCCTAGCTCATTCCAGGTTTTAAATAAATTACTTCGTTTGAGGCAAAAATAATACACGAAAATAGGGAAATTGAGAAAGGGAAAATCCTTTGTTGCGAGGTAGCGTTTGAAGAAGTGCGTCCCGCCACTTAAGTGATTGTATTATCAGGACGAAATCAAGGAATGTGGAGTGAATGCAGAAATAAAGTGTTGCAAATGCTTGCTATCATGGCTTGTCATCTCACAGTTTTTCACCCAACTGCTTTGCTTCGGAAGGAGGGCTCACAAAAGGTTGGACATGAGTGATAGCGAAAAGAATCCCTGCCTGCGTGAGGTGGGAGTCGGGTGGAGGGGAGGCGCAGAAGAGGAGGAGAGGAATGGTACTGTAATGTCACAAAGCAGAATTTTGCTCCTCTTCAACAACAACACACAGAATTTTTATCATTAATTCCTAATTTCTCCTTTCTTTTTGTTCTTAAATTTGACCAATTTTTAGTTGTTGTTTTAAGCCTTCACTTACCAATTATCCAAGTATGTAAAAGGTGTGAAAAGTAGCGAAATGGCGATTAATAATAGAATCTTACCGAGATGCCAGGCGACAGACAGCAATCAAATAGTAGGCAATGGGAGACTGTTTATTCCTTCTCCAAGCATAGCACGAATTTAAAATCGACAAAGATGATGTTTGGTTGGAAACTAATTTGCAAAGGGTTGACTTTTTGGTGTCTAGGAGCACATTGCTGCTAGTCACGTTGTTTTTTTGTGAATAGGCGATCCAAATACGGATATTTAATTCTTTTCTTGAAAAAAAACCGCTTAAGCATTTATTATCATCATAATAAGAAGTGAATATATGTATGAATCGAGGCACGAAAGCCTCAACAGCCGCCTTCAGCTGGAGATACTTACAAACAGGACAATATTTGGGATGTTTAAATAAAATATTAAGGCAACTTAAGCAAACTTTTTAAATAAATGCACAAATTATTCTATGCTTTTAGATTGAATGGTTATTCAACCGTAAAGATCTGAGGCTTAAAGCGGTCCAAGTGAAAAAGAGTTTATAAACTCCCTGAGATACGTGACTTGCAGAAATATCCCCTTTAACTTGACAATATTTCCCTCTTACAATGGACGTGGATTTTGACAACTGACTCAAGTACGTTGAAGTCTATCACTGGTTCTAGCCTTAACGACAAACTCCGACCAAGAAGGCGACCTATTGCGGCACTATAGGGCCTCTTCTACCCGAAAACTCCATCACTCTTGAAGCGGGGATGCATTTCAAGTGGTCAAGGCCCTCAAGTCAACAGATTACTTGGTCTGCGCAGTCAAGCATGGGTTCGTCAAAATAAAATGCGTTTTCATAAAGGCACATCCACTAGAAAGAGGGGGCTTCACCGAGGAAGGGTGCTCAAAGTGACAAGGGGGGGGGGGTTTTATAGCATGACAACTGACAGCGGTAAGGTTACACCAACCTTATGCCCTAGACAGACATTACCAACTCTAAAGGAGGAGACAGACACTAATCTTCTCCGCTCTTTTTCTATTCAATGGTCTCAAACCGGAAGTAGATGAGGGCAGCAACAAAATTATTACACGCAACTAATCAACTTTTATTTTACGTTTGTATTATTTCCAGTGAAATTAAAACCTAAGTGATTTTAATCCTCAAATTTTATGCACGACCATAATCCCTCCCCCACCGCTCCCCCTCTTCCCCAAAATTGAGTGATTGGGTCTCTAGGTTTAAAAAGCCCGTCGTGGGCCAACAGCCCCGGAGCTATGCGGTTTGCCGGCTATCCACTTTTCTTGGCATTGCAAATATTTCTCAAAATAAGTGAAATAACTAAATTACGTTTTTGTCAGCTAACGGGATACGAAATGTCACAATTGAATTTCCTTCGGTGGCAAACCCCCACAAATTGTGTAAATTTGTCTGCCAATTGTGAGGAGAAGGAGAGGATGATCACACGTGCCATATTGCACCACTTGGATGAAGTTGGGGCGTGGAGCTGCTTCCTCCATGACGTCTGCGTTTGAAACAAATTTTACAGTTTTCCTTCTTCTTTTAAGCATGGCTGTGCACCTTCCATCCTCAGCTGTGCGTGTTGAGAGGTCGTAAATGCTGACTTCAAATACACAGCTAATTTCGGATTTAAGAGAACCGTGAGGACATGGGAATGACATGTGGAGCGATTTGAGAAGAATGACCTTTTATCGCAGTACTGATTCGATGAATGCTAGGCGCTCGCTCCTAAGTCATAAATATTTTTCTCCCTGAAACAGAGTAGGTATGTCAAGCTTGGAAAGTTTGTATCCCTCAATTCGGAGCTGAACACTGAAAACCATTTCCGTTTTCATTTCTGCGATCCCCTTCCAATCTCTTTTTTAGCAAGAATTAACAAAAACATATGTGATCTCTCCATGCTTGCTAATGTGTCTATAATCCAGTCTCAAAACTACAAATTCGAGTGGTAAAACTTGAATGCTCATTCACTGCAAATCCTTGGGAATGCATTCATCCGATTACTGAAGGCTATGATAAAGGTTTGCCTAAGCTTTTGATATGAATGGTTTACGAAATGACATGTCACCATTTTGATTGGCAAGTTTATTGTAACTCCTTTACGCATAGTTGAGTCCTTGTTTCTCATGATGCGATCCCAGGATATGGGTGGATTAGTTATGATCCGAGCCGTCATAAGCCACGACTACAATTTTCCAAATTTGGAAACAAAAGACATTAAGGATCTAATTTTACTAAGTAACTGAATTAATAATGAAAGAAGAGGCTGTCCCTCGCAGCCTTATTGTGATGGGATAAATTGTAAGGTACATACAGGAAAACAGAATGATTGTAAGCCCCATAACCCCCACCTCGCTGCCCCCTCCCCCCCTCTCCAAGGCTAAAAATACATATACAGGCCGTTTGAATATCTGCAAAGCATTTAAAGCCATGCATAGCCATTAAGTTTAGTACTTTTTCTATTTTAGGGTTGGAATCCGCCTATGCCGACAAGTGACACCTTCTAGGCGATGAGGAAAAAATTTTTAGTGCATTGTCCTTCCATCGTACGGTAGATTGGAACCCCCTTTACGAAGCCATGCGGTGACAGCACTAAGCATAGAATAAAGACACCCGCTTGCCTGTTTTTCTTACAGAGATGTGAAATTTTAAACGCATTTTAAAGCTTCCCCCACAAACATCTAACTTGCGGAACGCTTCAGGCCGACTAAGCGGAGTGTTGGATTTAAGACGGAAATTTCTGAGACTTCTAAACGCAAAAAGAGGAAATTTTAAGGAGGGGAAATGTAGTTTCCTCTTTATTTACTCACTTATCTCAGTACTTAACTAGAAAATGGAAGGTTACTTAGAGATGGGAGATTTGCCTATGCGAAAGCCCTTGTTTCTCCGCCATTGACGACAAATTGGTATGTCCATTCAATGTTTTGACCTTTTTTAATTCCTAAGTGAGATCATGTAGCGACACGATCGGGGTATTTCTAAATGCCTCCCTCCCTTCCTTGTTAAACCTTCCTATTGACTCTAATCAGCATTCACCCCTTCCCTTTTGGCCCTTAGGGTGACCGAATCTCTCCAAGTTGTAAATGCTTGTCGATGGCTGTCTTTACTATTGTCACGGGAAGATGTCGTTTCTCTATAATTGTGACATATCACAGGTTATATGTCTATCAGGTGCTCAATGCCCTGTCCAAGTATTCACTTGAATGACTACTAAGTCTTCAAGATGCAAAGCACTACGCCCTGACAAGCTAAAAGAAGCACACCTGGCTCTCCTTGACACGCAAATTGTTAAATCAACACATTTTGCTGGATGCAAAAGTTTACCTATCACTGTTTGGATTGGACTGTTTCACGTAGTCATAAAATCAAAAGTTCCGGTTTGACTTGAACTCCAGGCATGCATCTTACTGCAGCCAAGTAGGGAGCCGTTTGATGGAAAAAAAGACAGGAAGATGTACAGACGCAGAGAGATGTTTTTAATAAATAAAAGGACACAAAGTGTATGTCTTCACAGGGAGGTTTCTTAGTAAATGCAGCAGGTATGCCTCTGCGGTGTTGCATTATGCATTGCAGGTAAGCAGTTATGTACAAAGGTGTAGAGGAAGGGACAGGGAATACCATTGCACATCGGCGTAGGAAAAGATTGCACCGTGATGTCTCTATCTGTGGTGTTGGGGATAAGATACCTTCTATTCGGTTAGCATGGAACTGTGTCTTCTGTCAAGCAAATGAGCAGAATTTCGAGATCGGGAAAGAGAGGGCGTTTCACCTTCAGTGCCACCGCCACCAGAAATGTTTGGTAAGGGGACGGGTGGAGGTCTGTACTCATGCTGGTAGCGACGTTCACGAAGACGCGCGTTAATGTTCAAGCAATGGCATGACATCAACTCCCAGAAGGGTCGACGAAATTCACGGTTGAAGATGGCGTAGATTAAGGGGTTAAGTGCCGAGTTCACGTAGCCTTCAAGATACACAAATGCCACACAGTTATTGAGTAAAAGGCAAATTACTCCATTTAATAAGTAACAGTTAGTTGGTGCTAAGCCATTACGTATAGAAGGCCTCTGTAGAGAAGTAACCATGCAAATTTCCCCCTCTCTGCGGTATCGGTTTCCCACTTGTCGCCATAGTGTCTTGATATGCCACTGAAACTGGGATTGGATGTCCTCTCGACTCGTTGGTGGATCATTGTACGACCTGCATTTCCAGCCTACGAATGTCGATTAGAGCACCAACTATGCTGTCACAGGTGACACATAATTTTATGCCTAACCACAAGGGCTTTTCAACCTCCTGACAACCTTTCAGTCATTTCTCATAGTATGGTATGCCTTGTCACGTCTCCTGGGCCTACCGAGAAAGCACAATTGAGTAGGCTTTATTGTTCCAATCCAGTCTATTTATAGAGGACAGCGAGTCACTTAAAACATGTTATTCTATTGTAAACCTAGTTTCAGAGGCAAGCTTTTTCTGTCGGATATTATTTATAAAGCAAAGTTGACGTTCCGACCAAACGTGAATATACTCCTAAGCAACTTTTAGTAATTTTATAAAAGGCTCTTTTGTCAAACAGTGATAAACTGCTTTTTTGTATTGGAAATTATTCTAAGGTGGAATGTATACCTAAGGGAAACAAGCTGTAAACATCTTAGACACGACAGCTCAAGGGAATTTCCCTGGAGTCACTAAATCGAGGGGTGGATTAAGGTACCACCTACCAGAGAAGCAGGAGGGACAAATTTGACAAGCTTAAAGGCGGAGAGTAGTTAGTTGTCAGTGGAGAGGGCGTAGTTGGGCATACAGTAAGTGAAAGCGAGGGCACTGGATCGCATGAAGAGGAGCGAGTGTTTCCCCATTGAAGGGGGTATGAGTGCAAGTTGACACCGCCAAGGTTTTTAAAAGGCAGAACAAATTTAATTTCCAACCACTAAATTTCGATTGTTGAGGACACTTACTTCCACATTAAGCGATAGAAGTGGAACAGTTGTGTCTGTTCAAGGGGTTTGATCACGAGGAATTTCAACTATAGGTCAGAAAATAAATGATGCTAGCAGTAGTAGAAAATGGAATGACAATAGTACGCACTGTTTTGCCTTTCCTGGGAAATGGATTCACTAGGAATCTTGGTTACCTGGCATTAAAAAAAATTACAACAAAAATGGCAGCGAGGCACGATGATTTTCGCTTTGTAAGTAGGCAGTGATACCGCTCCAAGGGGGGCAATACCCGTCATTAATCCAAACATCAAACCTCATTCATTTTTTTACAAAAGGTGAGCGACTACTCTACCAGCCTAGTCCCCATTTTCCTTGTCAAAACGCGGATTGAAGAGTAATCCTTCCCAGGCTACCAGCACCTACACATGAAGCAAAAAATAAGTGAAGTCCGTCCACACAATTTAATGAGTAATATGTAGACTAGAAGTGGATACTTTTATTGTCCTATAAAATTCCCAGGCATAAAAATGCGCTCACACAAAGACACAGGGATCAGGACAGCCTGTGAATTAGCAAGGAAGAGACGGGGATCAAAGGAAGTAACCTCTTTTGACGTGATTTTCTAACACATGATTCAGGCATAAACCCTACATAGCTGGAAAGTCTGCCTCCTGCAACCCAAAAAAACTTGTGATGTGCAGAATCTACATCGTTACTGGGATTGTTCGCTTTAAATGAGGGAAGAGAAAATGCAAGAGACTGTGTCTAAAAGCCAAAAAGAACACAATGTTACACTCGACCACTAAATTGGTAATGCAGGTTTGTCTAAATACACCTTTTTATGTGGTAAGCGGACAGTTTGGACCAACCATCGGCCCCTGGGGGAAAAGATCAACGTCCTAATCTCCCTGTCCCATTAAATAAAATGTTCTTTGTAAAAATCTGCACTACACAGATGCAATATGCTTTCCCTAAATCATTCTTCTTTATAAAAGGACATAAAACTTGAAGTTAAGGGGCAAATCAGCAATATTTCGTCTTTCGAATACGTCACGTGAATGCAGTAGTTACACAAATCCGCAGAAAACAAAACGTGATTTATTTGATTATCTCAGCCGAATTCATTTCACTTTTACTTTCTCGAGACACGACACTCATATCACTTAGATTAATTGGGAAAATAAGCAAAACCGCCTCAAGGACGTAATTAAAACTAAAAGTTCAGCTAATTAAGAAGGGTACATTAACGCTACAAATTCTAATTATTAAGAGTCGAATAAATTATCTGTGAATTAAAGAGAGGCATTAAAATTTTGTTTGACACACATTCTAAACCTTTAATAGACGTAAAATGTTCTGAAGACCTTAACAGCGTTTCTGTGTATCCAGATAGATATTTCAAAGTTCGAAATGCACAATTATTATTAGCTCTCTGCTACTGGGTATCCCATCTATTTTCTAGGTAGATGGAAGGAAAGTAAACTGAGTGAGAAACCCTTCCACATTTACATGACACGCACGGTCTCTTGTTTGTTTAACTCTCGGTCTTGGTAACTGGCCACTCAGAGGCTCTGCCATTGTACCTTCTGGCCTCCAGGCCACGTCTGTAGTTCCTAGCCCTGATGCATGTCGACAATTCATATTCTGCCCGAGTAACATGCCTTCTCTCGTCTTCAAGGAAGTCTTGGAGCGCTACACGCACTGCGATGTGGAAGTTGTATCACCAATCTCAATCAACCTCCTCGTGGGGAACAATAGCCCGCCTCTAAGAGAAGAAAGTGACCCTTTAATGGACATGAACTCTAGGTGCTTTAAGTGACCACCAAAAGGAGGCTCGTTCTAAGTAGTTGGTAAGAATTTGAAAAAGGGGTTCCACTTTTTTAAAAAGGGAGGTAGCCATTCAACAGTAATTTGAGGGGATGCTGATAGAGCTGCAAAGCATTTTATCCCCAAATAGGTGGCATGATCATAGATCTACTCCCAAAAGCAGAGTCAACTAAGTAAACCTACCTAGCCAGAGGAAGAAGCAATTGAGACGGGGGTCAATATCCTTTTCTGTGTTATGTATGTAATTGTAGAGAGGTCGACCCAGCTGTAAAATACAAAAAAGACAAATGACTCGTGCAAAATTATTTTATTACTAACCCATAATACTTAATTAAAGGTGCCCAAGTGATGCCTAACACCTCTTCCCCAGCTCTCTCTATTCTGTTATTCCATTTAGCATTACAGTGAGTTTATTTTGCGTCTTAGGAGACTTTCCATGTTCGCTGAGTTAATTAATGCAAATGCATTAATCCAGGCAATTTGTTCATGCGTTATGTTTAAAGTAATTCATTTTCCTAGTGAACGCTTCCGCGTAACCGACCACGAAAAAAAAGGACTGCCTAACTTGCCATTCCGAAAAGGACACAAAAAAGGGCAACATCGGTAGGGTATCCTCTGATTTCCGCAAAAAATATGCTTCGACAGAAAATTGCCTAAAGTGCCGGTATTATAGTAGAACTTTACAAACGTCGAAAATTTATCCCAGCACAACTTGAGGCGCTAGCTTGAGTATTCCAATTTAGTAGAAAAGACAAATCAACAAAACAAACTTGACAGATAATTTTGGGCCAAGTAATTAATCTCAAATTACTTGAAAACGTGGAAAAAAGGTTTGAAATCGTGAGTTGAAAGTAAGTATTAGCATGGACTGATGGATAGACATATTTTCCAGTAAGAATGAGTAAATATGGACCATATTTAGAATATTTCAATGTATTTTAGTATTTTCCCGACCAAAGGAAAGGAAGTTGTCTCCCAACTCCAACTTGTCATAAAATTTCAAAATTAAGTAAGCGACGTTTTTTGTTTAAATCCATTCTGTTTCAAGCTATATCAGTTGATTTAATACTAGAAATTGCCATAACATCTAATAGGATTTAGTCAGTAAAGCTTTTTAAGTAAAATTGAGGGATGACAGTCGGAGTTGCATGCTCGTCCTCTATCTAAACAGCGGCAGACGGTGCGCTCTTTTGACAGCCATAAGTTGGCGACCAAACAATGACAATCCCCTTCTGTCGCACTGTTGCCAAGATGATCCAACTTTAAGTGAGGTAGAGGGGTGAGGTGAGGGCGAGATCTCCAGTTTAGTCGAAAAACGTCAACTTTACTACCACACTTAAGGCGACGCATGCACTTTTGGTGGGAAAAAAAAGGAAACTTACGTCAGTTGTCGCCTGAGCTCGTGGCAGATTATAAAGTACACATCATGCTACAATACCTTCCTATCCACAAGTGGAAAAACCCCGACAGGCTATGTAAACGCCATTTGCGAGCGCGTGAAGGGCGTAACAGCACAGCATTTCAGCCTGCCTCTTTAGCTAACCGAACCCAAGTAATCTACCGTTGGTAATTATCCCCCCACGTAGCCTGCAAGCACGATTTTATGGTTTTGAATAAAAGATAGTGGAGAGGAGAAATCTATTTACCCGCACCGGGGGTTGTGAATATTTAAAAGGAAAATTAAGCCAGTATAGTGGGGGTGATCAACATGTCGAAAGCAGAAACCGAGTAATCGTATTTAAGAAAGGGAAAAATGCAATTTTTAAACTGAATTTACATCTAGGCTATAAAAAAATTAAGATTAAAGGTAATGGAAGGAATGATAACCTGGCATTTTGAAAAAGCGAAGATTTGGCAGGGAATCATTTTAGCAGCAAGTACTCTGTTAAGTGACAGGAGCCAAAAAGATTAGAAAGAAACTTATTTGCTGCAGCAAACTTATTTTTCACTCGTAAAGATTAAAAAAGGTGTTATTTTTCTTCCACACTGGAAATGCAACCGATTTTAGGGGGATGAGGGACAAGAAAGAAGGAAGTCTACAAAAATTTAGGGTCAAAATTTTTAAAACTCATCCTAAGGTGTCAAAAAAGTGAGGCAAAAAAGTTACTAAATTAACAAAGATAAGGTAAAATGGATTAACTAGCTCACCGCAACAATGAAAAATGGTAGCCAGCAAATGCAGAAAACACCCATAATGACGCCAAGGGTTCGGATGGCTTTGGCCTCATTTGAGCGTTTAATTCCTGGTCGTTTTAAGTGAAGAGCAATGCTGAGACGCTGTTTGGAGAAGAAGGGTAAGCTGCTTCGCGGGTTTTTTGTTTGTATGTGCGCAACAGTGACAGAGTAGGCTCGATCGCGTAACAGTGAGGAGCAATGCTTGAGATTTTCCGCGCCAGGATGCAAGCTTACTCGATGCTGGTTAGTGAAGAGGCTCTGCGGTCTTTGAGTAGATGGTTCAAGGAACTCAACTCCCGGAGATGAACGCTCACAGCCGTTATTTGGGTGCTCTCTCAGCTTGCTATTAGGGCAGGATTTTTGGGGAGGCAGACGGCTGAAGTGATGAACTGGGTCAGGTGGGCAGTTGTTTTCTTTAATGTGGGGGGGATTGAGTAGTGGACTATCACCTGCTTCACTAATGCATACAACTGGTGCGGTAGGAATAGAATGAATAGAAGAGATATTGCTAAAGAAATTAGGATCCACAGACTTGTCAGTAGAATCAAGAGATTCCCGTTTGCGTAAGTAAAGACAGCAGGTTTTGCCAAAGCATGGATAGGTAAACTTGCTTTTATCCTCGGAGGCGCCTTCATCAGTTTCCTGTGATTCAGGGTAATTTTGAATTGAATTTCGTTTTTCATCACAAGGTTTTGATGGCAATCTGATTCGGTCAGATTTTACAATCCTCCTAGCTAAAATTACGATCCGGCCGTATAGTATTAGCATGACGATAAGAGGTATGTAAAAAGCACCGAAGCAAGCATAGATTTGATAAATAAAATTTTGACTATAGGCGCATTTCCCAGGAACGAATTCATCTTTGAAACCAAATATCGGGGGGATGCTTATTAATGCTGAAATTGACCAAGCCGTGAGAATCATTATCAGCATTCGCTTAGGAGTCCGTTTGTACACGTACTGAAATGGTCGGGTAACTGCAAGATATCGGTCAATACTGATAGCACAAAGATTCAAAATGGAGGCTGTGCATAGAAAAACATCAAAAACGATAAATATGTCGCAAGCAACTTCACCTAGGTCCCAGTATTGCCGATATTCCAAGTAGGTGCTGAAAGGCATCACTATAATGCTGACCATCAGATCACTAGCAGCCAGACTGACGATCAGAAAATTGCTAGGACACCGAAGTTTGTGTACTAGAAGGACAGCAGAGATAACTAATGTGTTGCCTAGAATAGTTAGAGCAGTGATGATACAGAAAGTAACTGCAAGAGGGATTGAACCTAGGGCGGCAGTGCTGGGGACTTGGGTAGCTGCAAGCACCGAAGTAGATACATTTGTATCCATTGCTCACATTAAAACGCCAGGGCCCAAAGTATGTTTTGTCTTTTTTAAGATCAGATTGGCGAATAAAACATCCGCAACACAGTCCGCCGTAGTTTTTGAGTTCACGTGGGCACTGTTAATCTTAAGGTCATAAGGTCGCAAACAACCTTGAGTTTTATAGACGTCAACTTCAAGATAATTATTAAAAATTTATAAAAAAACCTTTTTAGTCTTCAATGTTGCTTGTTGTTTTAATCGATCGTTTTAAAAGTAAGATTTATAAAGATCAACCTGGGTGGTGTGTGGTTGCATTTGCGGCGGATTGTTGGTCGCTTTAAAAAACTGGAGTCGACCACTTTACCTAGCAATGTCAAACCCAAGAGTTTGACTGGGAAAAGTCACAAAGATATCCTTACTCGACGCAACACGATTCGCGATGTTTCACTTAGTGGAGGTGAATCCGTAAAGTATTACTCTGAAAATGGCTTACGTAAAGTAAAATCGTTGTAAAATTTATTTCCTCCTAGGTCGTCCCGTACCATTACGTTTTTATGGCCTTCTGTAAGCGTCGGTGGGTTAGTTGTCGGCTTCTCGATGTTCTGGACAAGGAATTCAATTTTGATGAAATGGATGTCATAGTAACCACCTTTATTCAAGTCACTCCTGAAATCCTCAGGTCCAGAGAATCTCATCTGGGCAAATAAGAATAAATGGTGATAAAGTCCCCGTGGATTACATTTTGCAGGACTCTGATCTCCTGGAGCACAGTGTTCATCGGCACGAGTTGCCCATTCTCGGTACCCGTTAATATTCATGGATATCATTTCCTTAGACAAACCGATAGATGTTGTTTTTGAAGACGACAATGTATTGGTTGTTAACAAGCCACCTTCGATGCCAATTCACCCATGTGGACAATATCATCACAACTCACTTGTTAAAATTCTTCACAACGAAAAAGGAATGAAGAATTTGCGCGCCATTCATAGATTAGACAGGTATTTACTTGAAATTCCTTCTTCCTTTTGTTTGAATTTCCAGTGAATGTTGACCAACTATGGGGTGCTCTGCAATTTTCACATTTTGTCGACAATCATGTTTGCTGAAATAGTTTTATAGTTTTAAAAATAGGTTACTGAACCATCATATATGTTCCTCTCCTCTTCTAGAATGACATCAGGTCTTGTCTTGATTGGCAAAACCTACGAAGCTGCAATGAAAATCTCCTCTCAAATCAGCGATCGGGAAGTTTCTAAAGTATGTTTTTTGCATTTGCATTTATGGTCCGTTTTTTCTCAAGCCATTCTCACTCATGATTGCGCAAACTATCGGACTCAAATTAAAAGAAATCCTTTACAATTCTGGATAAGATCGGCTTGTCCATTGCTTTTTAATACTCTAGTGGCAGGTTTGGCCTATAACTTATTTTTAAGTGTTAGACTTTCATTTGTCACGCAAAATGTGTGATTGCCTGGTTCGTTATATCCCATGTTATTAGTAAGTAAACTTACGGCGGCTAGTATGCAGCGCTAGGTGTTTGTGATGTTTTTCAATGTAAAGGGCGTGATGAAAATTCTATTTCGAGTTCAAGTTGTATGATTTCTTTATTTAACTGGACCCAAACGAAGAAAGCGCTGGAGTTATTGGCTTATTGTATTGGAGACTCTTGCCAACTTACAAGTACACTCATTTATAACGTGATCATGGCTGCGGGCGATTGGTGCTGATTTGATTCAAGTAAGCACAGAAGGAAACTTATCAACAAAGCAACTAAAAGATGAGGATTTTCTGAATTAATGGTTGCAATAGTGCACGTTACGTAGCAGCATTCCAAACATTCACTGTCAAAGTGTCACAGGAACATTGACCATTACAGTGTGGATATTTTATTGTTCGAAGGTGACACCAAAAATTGCATAATTGATCTGATTTACTCAACTGATGCCTAAAGAACAATAAACTAAACCCAACTGTCTACTACGCGACTTACTGACAAAGTACGCATGTCATACACGTGACTTTGGTAGCGGATGCGTTAACTGACAACTTTACTGTATGTAATGCCCTTTCATGTCCATGCGTGTGCATTTCCTACATTTCAAACGAAAATTGAGGTGTTTTTTTGGTTAAGTATTAAACTTATATTTTTCCATGAACGTATCGCATTGTAAATACTTATTTGGAAGGGGTCAATTTGGCTCATGATAACAGAGCAACTCGTTTCAGTAGAGCATATTTATGACTCGCATCTACGTCGTTCTAGTAAGTCTCGAGATGATTGTTTCGCCTGCACTGGTCAAAATCGGAAGCTCATCTTAGTACCTGGAGTGTGCTAACTTACCTCGTGTTTGGAAATTCATATTCTTCACACCAACCAGTTCTATATAGCCGAAGTGGAAGGTCAATTCAAAGGACCCACGAATTCCTCCCCAGGAGGGACAGCAAATACGCCAACTCCAGTGGTGGTCGACCAACCGCTCGGTCGTCTGAACAGCCGATTGGGTCTCAATGCCGTCCTCCCTGAGAGCGAAGGTGGAAAGCCCGCAAAAACTGCTTTCGTACCGCTTCTGTGGAAGAAACCAAAAGATGTCGATAATCCCGGAAGCACAGTTGTCCTCTGTCGTCTCTACACCGGTCGTACGCATCAAGTGAGAATTCATCTACAGTACTTGGGTGAGGCATACTGTGAATCAATTCACTTCCTGATTAGCAATGAGTAGTAAGCTTTTAGGAGTCTGCTTTTTCCTCTCTCCAGGGTTTCCTATTGTTGATGACCCACTATACAATTCCTACGATTGGGGTGAGAGTAAGGGCGCCTTTGCGAAGTATCGGGAGCCTCGGTCGGAGCTCCTTGCTGCTCTAGCGGCTTCACGAAGCAGGAGTACCTACCTCAAGACAGCTGTGAGTTCTCACCATCTACCGTTGTTGTCATGAGTGTCACGTTTTTCATGACCTTCGATCATGTGGCATTTAAAGTTTTATTAACTGGAGTCTAGAATTCCTGAGGGATTAGGTGTCGATGGAGAAGTTACGATACCACATTTGGTTAATTTTAGCATTTCAGTTACGTAGTCCTTCCCACTACCCCGGTCACGCGTTTTCATGCACCGTGGTATCGAGGCAAAATTATGCCTGTAAGGTGAAGGGGTTCAAAGACCCGTTCAGCAATTTCTCAACCTTGTCGAGTGGATTTGACCTTGACAGATGCGATTTTCTCGTCGTGTGGACTGCTTCTAACCACTTTGTGTTCCACCTCAACCTGTTCACCACCAGCATAACAAATGGATGGCGTGTTTGTCCTATCCCTTAGTGGAAACTGTCGCACCGCGGTTATTTGAAGTGCTCAAGTACATTCCTTCGATTGAATGTGTAGCCCAAATGCGGGCTCTCTTTTGCCTCCGTCTCCAGCAATAGCATCATCACTTCCCTTCCTTCCATTCCTCATTCAATTTCATGCATTTACATGGCCTCGCGCAAACATTTTGCATCGCAAATTATGTTCATAAAACCTTCTTTTCCCTAATAAAAGCTGCTTCAGTAGTGCTTGTATTTGGTTAGATCACGGATCGGGATGCTGCAGCGCCCAATGCGAAGAACGACGAGGACGACAATAATGATGCTGAAGACGATACAATTAGCGAAGAGGCCTCTTTATCACCCCCCAAAATCTCGCGTCTCTCACCGCGCTCAGAAATGCACCACTACAATGAGTCGACGGTGGATGAGGCGACACGAAACCTCCTTGAAGCTGCCTACAGGGCCGACTGTCCCGACTGCAATCGACGCTTCCCAGATCCTAAGCCATCCAGCCTGGTGCTGCATCTGCATGCCTATCGCTACGCTGGCTCCGATTGGTCCTACTCTGTGCCTCCACCCGAGTGGGCCCTCGAGTCCATTCAGTTGGACGAATTAGAGGCTCGTATTGCTGAACTATTGCCTCTTCTCTAGCTTTCTTCCAACAATACACAGAACTCCATTTTTGTACACGGATTTTGGTTGGTTGTGGTGGTTCTACTTAATATATTTAAGTAGATGTGCTGTTTTGCAAGTCGATGATATTTTTAAATGTGGGATTGGTCGATGACACACGGAACGGTTAGTGGGATCGGCGCTTTTTAGCTTTGGTAGCCTTTCTATTCAAATGCTGGCTAAAGTGCAAGTAGTATGTATAAAACGGTAAAAGTGTCCCATCTCCATAGGAATACCTCGAAGGGGTGCGCATATTAGCGGAGTTATGGGTGCAATTGCATCAAAAGTGTGCCGTTATAGATGATGTGATGGCCCTCCAATCAGGGGGACATCCTTTTACCTCACCCTTCGATGCATTAGTACTACTGTTTAACTGGCGTTTCTATTCGATTGGTAATTGCGTCAGACGATGCAAACGACTGCTAGGAGCTGTAGTGGGTAGTTGATTGCAGGCGCTTCTGCATTGTATCGAAGACTTCAGTTTTATACGAGAGGTGTTAAAGGTATTGTGTCAGAGAACATGGAGAATTCATGCCTAGGATTGCTTCTTGTGAGGAAAGACGGACAAGATGAACGCTTGGATATCCACTCGCGCCTACAGGCGACTTGGATGACTGTACAGCACAATGATGGGGCGAACAGCCACCGTGTGAAACTAAATTTCTCAAGGACCTACGTTTTCTACAACAACGAGGAAGACAAACAATGGGAAGAAGCGATAGCATGGTGAGTGCAGCAGGATGGTTTGGAAAGCACCAACAACTCTGTAACAAGCATGCTTTAGTGGTGGGAGGCAAATACCGAGGTAACTGTAGAAATTTAGTAGTATGGCACTCTGTCCTATCAGGAAGTAGAAACTATTTTATGAATTTGTTAGTTTTTTGCATAAACTGAAAGGTGCTATGTTACCTTGAAAGGATTTTGGAATTATAAGCCTGCAGCCTTCCCGGTGGTTCTGCATGCCCTATTTAGAAATGCGTTTCGTTATTTTGCGATCATCTGGCATGACATGATAATCTTTACTGGTGTGAGGTCTCTCTTTTGTGTGTTTTCACAACCAATTCATCAGTCACAGCAAATAGTTTTTGGAATCTGATTAAACTTCGCGCGATTTAGCGTTGCAAAGTAAAGGCGGATTGACTAGCATATTTCGCATATTGCTATGCAAATCAAGCTTACCGACGGAGCAAATCTTCTTATGCTCCACCAATATTTAGGCATTAAAACTTTCTAGCAAACATGAGTGCTTTAAATTATTGCTGCAGTACTTCAATTATTCGGCACCTTGGCGGTGACTGTAGTCTCTGACGACTAGGAGACCGCTTGAGCAAGGGTTGTGAACCTTTTTGAACGATCAGCAGCCCCTCGTCACGCAACCTACCTCCTTTTTAATCACCGGTTATCAGTCGGAGGGCATTTGAATTCTCCTAAATCTAAAGTGCAGTTCACCCAGAATGGAATTAAATAAAAACACAAAAATTGTGCATTTCTCCCACAGTCCTACTCATCACCGAAAAATGATCAAATGCCGTCTTCTCTAGACAAATTTTACAAAGTGGTCTACCCTACCTCTTATCACTTTTTTCTTTTATCTGTTTTACTCCGAGAGTAATCGCTACCTTTTCCTCCGGATATACGTGGCTGTAAACAAACAGAGTGTTTCAAGCATAAATTGTAGGGTCTGTTGTGACTGTAAATCCGGAGCACGCGTTGTCACTGTTGCCAAGGTTCTGACATCAGCCCTGGTTGTCAAAATCCACAGGGTCGAGGGATAAAATTAGGCAATGAAAATGGGCTCCTTACTTAATATTGAAGTGTGGGTTCTGTAGCGCTTAGGAAGATACTCGAATGACCAAACAAGTAGGTAAGTGGATAAAAAATAATTTAAAAAGCCTAAAAATAATTAGAGAATAGACTTTAGGTTAAAAGCGACCATTTGTTTGAAATAGCTTATCCTAGTACAAACCTCAGTGGGTATTTTCATTTGGTAAAATAAATAAACATTCGATGAAGAAGCTATTAAATTTAATTACGTAATCCGGGATACGGTCTGTAAGTAGGCTTAAATGAGTCCCTGGTATTGCTGATGTACGTGGCAATAATCGACTCAACAAGGGGTTTTCAAACTCAAGTACCATCTACACCTCTCCTTATGGCATTGAAACGTTGCTTGAATAAGTTGTGCGCAGACCTTTTTAGGCTGATCACCTTCTTGGGGTTCCGACCATTACCACCCTTTTGCTATAACTGGGCTCATCCAACTTACAGAGACGTCAGGAAGCCTTGAGTGAGGCAAAACTACCAAACTAACCTATAGTTATTCAAAACTGAGGGGTAAATGGTGATAAAAGAGAAAGACGGGAAACAGTTTAGGATTTTGAGTTGGAAATTTAAAATTAACAGCTTTGGTGCTGCCCAAAGGTGTCTACTAATTCTAAGAAATGAACGCATCTCAAATACCAACAAAAGGTAAATCTGGTTGTGGCTTAAGAAACACTAAGTCCCCAAAGACTTGACTGCAAGCCCTGCCTCGGATAAAAGCATCAAAACATCTGTTCTTTAAGCCGCGGTATAAACCAGAAGTCAATCTGAACAAAAGTATAAGGGAAGGGCTTCTTCTGCACCACAGACAAGGTAAATGCAATCGCACGGACTACAATATAATGAACATTTGTGGGTTGCAAATGCATTGTACTAGAAGAATTGCATTTTTCTGCTCTACCTCCTATCCTTCCTTTATTTATCTCCATCTCTCACTCACTCCCTCTTTCAATAAAGAATGCAGCACCCACCTCGAAGTAAAGTTAAAAGTTAAAAGCAATCATTTCTTCTTCCAAGGCCTTCTTAATAATTTACGATTGTTTGCAAACAAATGAAAATTTGGTATCGAAAAGCAGACCAATTCTGCACCCAATTTAACTAAGCCATAAGCGACTTCGGCCAAGGTTGACACCATTAATGAGGCTTGCATGGAATTTCCACTAAGATGCCAAAGCACAAAAATCTACCAATGCAATGAAGTACGACAATGGAACTGTTACCATTGGAAATTACTGCCATTACTACTATTTACAAAAAGATTATCGGTAACCCTGGGACTAGCCTCAAATGTGTGAGAGTGAGGTGATTAGACGGTGAGTGAATGGATACATGAATGGAAGTTGAACAACGAATGCCCGTTGAAGTAGCCATTACGCATCAACCAATGGGAGTCACGTGCGTATGATAGAGGCGATGAAAGACATAAAAAAAGATAAAATAATAAATTAAGAAAAAAATGCCAAGGCCAGAGGCATAAAGAAGCACACGAAGTGGGAAAGTGCATTTTAAAATCAACTCCGGAAATTTAATTGTCAAATTACATTCTGCCCAGCTGATCAGGTGAAGCACTCGTAAGGAAATCGATGTCACCTGTAGATAGGAAATCGATTAATTGAACTCCGTCAAATCAATACTTTAGCCAAGTTTTATCGATTCTGTTGACATTTCACTTTTTGTTAGGATGACACAAAGCCGTTTGGGAGTTATTCGAACAAATATTTCCTTGTTAAATGGTAACAAATGGAGTTCCAGCCTCTCAAATAAATTGCAAATCTTTTCCTTTCAAGGTCAAATATGATTTCCGTATCCTATTTTGCCCCCATTAAATTGACTGTGATGTATCTTTGCTTTGAAAGGACCTCAAAGCCAGGGAGATGACATTTATAAATCCGGTCACTCTGTATTTTAACGGGGATAATCTTTTAAAGTCACATTTAGCATTTTCCAACTAATTAAACTTCCATGCATCTTGTAACCCAACATTTGATTCTTTTCATGCAAAGATTATTTATACGGTGAAAATAGGCATTTGTTGTGAAATATAAATCACGAATTCCTTCGAATTGCTACACTGTCAACAAAATCGTCGCAGTGCCATCACTATGTCACACACATGCCACTCGAGTGGACCAATCAAAATAGCGCGTGACCGAAGTGCCACCTCACCTTTCCCTTTCACCACAATTTTCAAGGTAGTGATGCAACTAATCACCTCATGTCAAATAATTCTAGGGCATAACCTTGAGTGCCTTCGGCTTAAAACACAAAAGGCAGATCTACAAAAGCTGCACAAATGTAGCAAAAGGTTCAAATGTGGTTTTTGCAACTAAGAAACGTAGAATAAAGCATCTTCAGAGCAGAAATTTTATTGTTTGGAAAACAAAACCTACTCAGTCACGTACATCAAAAAAGCTAACGGGCAGGTAATGCTATTTTCCCTTATTTTTGTATATTTTGTAGGCCTCTAACATCTATATTAAGCTTACATAAATTCAGAGGTTGTTAAAGTTTTGTATACTCAGAAAAACAATCGCAATCCTCAGTCGTCTTTTGCAAGTAGATGGCAAAATATCAATTCCTTATTGATAAAACAATTAAAATAACTTATATGTTGCCAATAAAGATGAAGAATTCAGTAATACTTTCACTAAAGTACACTTAATTGTCCATTAATGACTCGGACAAAGGAAGAATAAGCTGCGGTTCTAGGTATTGTGAATATAAAACGGACAGGCCAATAGTCTTCTTTTGTATTTAATACAATCTCCATTCACAAACACGTATTTGAAGAAATTAATTATCGCCACTTGGTGGATTGCCCATTTTACTAGCCTCTGCTCTCTTCGTTCCACGGAAACGAGGTAAGGAAGGATTTTATTGATGGACCAATACTTTTAGCCTCTCGAGACGTCCTTTCAGGCTGTGTGAGACAATGCTGGGCCAGGACAGTAGTGCTTGGTGCTAATGGCATGGTCTGGAAGTCAGGCTACCTGGCGGAGGTTCAGTGGCGGAGGCCCAAAGTGGCCCGTTTAACAATTGGGCGTTATACGAAAGTAAAAGTACCACAATTCCATCCTTTTAGGATATCACTTAGGCTATTTCTTGCAATAAAATTGTAGCCAAAGAAATCCAAATGAAATTTTCTTCTTTTAAGGTTACTCTTGACCTGACAGTTTGAGGACTGCTCTACGCCACATTTTGGAAATGCAGGCATATTTATAAAAAGTTAAAATTAAGTCGTCTAATAATTATTTATCTGAACTTTGTAAATGCTCGCAATTTCTGCTTCTCACTGTTGATGCAAACTATGGGCAAACTGTTTTCACGATTTGATCTCCTTTTTTGAATGTTGTCCCTTTGGTGATGGTTTTTACCAATCCTGCGCACATTACCGTGAATATATTGATATAATCAGGCAGGCCAATTATGTTTTGCTTAAAAATTTGCCTTTTGAGTAAAAATGCGTCGTTAACGAAAATACATCATTAAATAGGCAGCTCTCAAGACTCGCACGAATGTTCAGCTACTTGCATGTATTGCAAAATGGACGATCTGAAGGTGCGATCTCCAAACAAAGCAAATCCCGGTTCAAAAGCTCTGCTCAAATGGAGGAGTCTCAAGTTTCTCTTTCTTTTTTGCCCCTGCCAATCACGGCCGGAGACCACAAACCATGGCTGAGGAATCTCTTTCAGTCTGTGGAGTGCCTCATGAATGAGTGAGAGTTGAAAAGTCACCACTCTGAGGAGTAAAATTTGCCCACTTCCCCCTGCCACATTTCTTTGATTGATCTGATAAGACCACTTGCATTTCCCCTAGGCAGCAAAATGTGGGAAATTTTTGACTAAGAGCATGAAGGATGGATTGGCAGTGCTCTTGGTACCTCCAATTAAGAAAATAAAGACACTGAGTTTCAGTACACGTATTGGAATAATTTTGCAAAAATCGGCGTTAACTCCGCGCCTTTAACTTGAAATAATTTAAAAAGGAGGCGTTTCGATGGAATCCCACGAAGTGCCTAGTAGAACGGGGACTACGAATTAACCCGAGTCAATTACCCACGGGACATTTTTGTAGCTACGCAGTCATCCCTAACAACAGTAGACGATTTACCACTGTGAGAGATTTAGTATCAACAAATCGACCTCCCGAAGGAGTATAAACAAGGTCTGGTGGCGACTTGAGGACCCGCAACATCAAAGGTGAAATCACAGCAAGCGCAACTGTTCCACACAGTTCTTCTGCCCTGGGATTGTCCACTCTAGCAGTTTCTAGCAAAATTAACATCTCTTATCAAGCCAATTTTGCACACAAACTCCAGATATAAAGTCGACTTTGACTCGTTGCATTCTTATCTAACGCCAGTGGGGAGGGTTTCGCAAAACTCGAAATTATCGCTTTGCAGGCGCATTGTTTTAGCCACATAGAGCAAGTTTTCTCCTTTTTTAATGCTTTGGTTCAGGAAACCGTCACATAGTTATTTGGCTCGAGGTCATTAACGAATGTCATTAATGTGATGTTCTGTGCCACTCCTGCTGACCTAATGGGATAAACAAATTGCTTCAGTGCTTGGTAAAAATGTTTGTCTACAATTTTAGTCCCCTTCCGTTTGTGAATACACAATTTGAATGTCAACAGAGGAGGTTCTAATTTATTGCACCAGATTTCTTCTAGGACATACTCCAACTCTAGGATTTAATGGAGATGCCTTCACTCCATCCAAATGCGGGAGCCTAGACAAGTTATCAATTTGGATCCCCAGAGATCTGTACACCTTTGGCCTCAAGTGGTTAAAGGCATGCTATCCATCTGGTATTCATCTTGCGCTCATCCATCATCCACCACGTATCCATTCATCCATCTACCCATTCATTCCCCCACTTATTTACAGATCCTGTATACATCCCGCATCCATTTCGGCTCCATCCATCTTGCGTGCCGCCATTCCCTAATACTTCATCAATCTTGTATTTTTATCAACTATCTATCCAGCTATTCCTCTATCCATGCATTTATCTACTCCGTATCTGTCCAGTATCCAATTTTTACCTATCCATTCCATATCTATCCATTCAACTATCCCCCACTTTGTCCATTCGTATTCGTTTATCCATCCATCTATCCATTCATCAATGCCGTCTCAGCCAATTCTTCTAAACATCTATCCATTGAATTTCGAATGCAAAATGTAAAGGTGTTTAAAGTGGAAAAATACCACTTAACTGAATTCTGGAATTTGAGGTAAACTGTGCCATCCACTAGTAATGGTGGGGTCAATTAGGAGGAATCTGCTCGAATGATTTACCACAGTTCATAATGAGGGAAATTGAGAATGCGAGACAAGACGTCTGGCGTACATGCAACAATGCAAGGAGGCATAATGCGTGCATGCGTTCAACACTCCTTCCAACTTGATGTGCTGCCACAATGACTCTTTACTTGTCGCAGGTATCTGTCAAACCAATGCAGGTACTTTGACCCATTGATTCCTGGCATTGCGGGCACGTCAATCTGTCACCTGTCAGCTTTCTTTCCCACGACTGTGAGGTGGCGTGTCGTAAATTGACACCTCAGCCTGGTGCAGTGTAAGTGCAGAGTGGCTGCTTTGCTTAACTAGGTTAGCTGCGCTATTTATATCCTCCACCTTGCCTCGCGTAAATTTTTTCATATAAAGCAATTGAAAAGGTTTGGCAGGAGGTAGTGGATCGTGAAACTCATTTTCCAACTACTTTTTAGTTTGGAAGTCCTGAACAACGCATCTAGACGACCCGTTGGGAAGGCAAGAATGTAAAAGTAAGATGTAAAAAACGCCTTTCAGTTGTGTTTAACTCCATAAGTGATAAAACAATAGGGTTTGGACTTGAATGGCGAAAGTGGTGGAGGAAACACGGGTCAAGGCAGCCGTATGTTGCCGCTTGATGCAGTGAAGGGTGACAGTGCACTTTCCGGACTTTCAGCATATTGTTTTATTTTTCTTTTCTTTGCGAATTGTCTGCTGAACCAAATCTGTAACAGGATATGTGCTTTGTATTGCAAGTAAAGTGGCTTTGATTACCACAAAACGCGCCAATCATTGCTGTCCATCCATCCAGCACTTGATAGGCATCCAACACTTCATCCTCACAAGACTGCGCCTGCATTGTGTGTAATGTGATGGAGTATAGACTCAGCTGTTTGTAAATCGTATTCACTTGTTGAATGCCAAGTAACGAGAGATGAATTTTGTATTCTTTATAGTGTGTAAGGTAAACATTCTACAGAAGGAGGAGGTTGGATTGGTCAAGGAGTTGGAAACAGGTCCCATCCTTATTGCTGCAGTGCAAAGCAACTCTTCAAACGTCCACATCACTTGTCAGTGCAATATCCATAGTAGGGTGGCTGGAAGAGGGTGGGAGGGGGAAAGGAGAGACATACTGACCCCCTTTATTTGCATCATATTCTACACTCGATGATTATCATCTTTCTTCGACATTTGGCAGACGATCACGCAATCTTATGTAAATGGCAATGCAGCAATTTAGCAAACGAAAATGGCGGGGAAGCCGAAGTTTCTAAGATCTGGTTGTTTAAGCTTAGCGGGATTAGGAAGACCGTGACTCGGTTCGGAGTGATTTAGAAAGTGCAGGGCCACATATCAACCACAAAACTTTTACTGCATAAGTCGCTTTCAACTTTGGAACAATTGCGACGAATGCATGTTGTTTCCAATTATTTCAAGTTACCCAAATTTATTGTCTAGTCTGTTGAACAGAGCCATGTCACCTTGGAGACATGGGGTCATTAATAATTGGAAAAAAAAACATTGTTTTGGAATGATTTTTCCTTTCCATAATACTCCTCATTCATAAGCAGCCCATTCTAACCATCCATCATCTCCGGGTAAAAAGAGAATGAACACCCTCTTAAGAACATTACTTTGCCTTATAAAAAAGGTGAAATCGTGCTTTTCCACCCTGTGGCATTAGAATTGTCAAATTTTAACGGATCGTACTTTAAAAGAGAAGTCGAATAAACTTTCTTTTCCTTGGCAACTTCTATCCAGAAAGTGGCGGAGAGGGCGACTGCAAAAGACCATTTCAATGTGATGGAGGAGAAAGTAAAGTAAAAGTGACAGAATCTGTCAACTGTATTTCTGCTGAAATAATTTATGTTGACATTTTATATTTGTTTTAGTGGAGTTAAACACCCTCAAACCACGCAATCTGCCATCAATTTACGTGTTGACTAAGACCAAAGATATGGGGATGAGGCAAGAAAACACCAGCATAGCTGTGAAATAGAAGAACTTCCCATAGACTTTGAAAATACGTATCATCAAATATCAATTTATTGGCTGCTACAAACCTTCCTAAATTCCTCCCTCCTCAACCCAAACCCTCCCTCTACTTGACACTTTGAGCTTCATCTCCAGGCCTCCTCGTGATTACATTAATCCCTCGATTGTCATAAGTTCTCCTATAAATGCGTAAACCACCGGAAGGCAGTAATGCCGATGTTACGATAAATGCCCACTGCAAGGCCCCTACTACTGATTACACTGGTAGTAGTGTGCAATACAAAATCACTTGAATTTATTGCATAGTCGGATCGGAGAGAGATCTAAAACGCGAACATTGAAATACCCATTTAGCATTTTCTGCATGAAAGATATTCTTGCATTTTCTTACAATAACTAGGAGAGGAAGGAAGGAAAATGAGGCGGTGTTTTTAGACAATTGCAAAATTCTTACCTATCCTTAGTCACGTCTCGAATCCTCTCAAATCTGATCTCATTTCCTTACCGCTCACCAAAAAAACTTGGGTCTGACGAGTTCACAATGGAAGGACGCCAAACATCTATGTCGTGTACTAGTGGTGTATGTATCAGAAGGTGAGCTTTATTGTAGGTCTTCCCTTCCTTGTTCCCAGTGCTCTTAAAACAACCTGGTTGCTTCACTTTCAACATATTTATTTAACAGGGTGAGTAGGGGAAAAAGAATACAGGGATTAGTGGGGTGAGGGTTAGCAACCGCTCTTAGGCTCACAGGGCTTAGACTCTGTCATTAGGTTCGAATTGTATTCGCGCCTCCTCTCTGAAAGGAACATTAAAACAATACGAGCATTAAATTATTATTTGTATGGATAATGCGAGTCATCTGGGTCAGTCCTCGATATTGGCTAAGCAAAATGGTGATCATCTCTCGACCTCTTCAAAGTCATGCTTCCTTTTAAAGCCCTTCATATATCCTAACTCATTCTTTAATCACAGAGATGAGAGATAATTAGGCGGTACCCCTTATCGAAATTAGTAACAAGTCAGGCAAACACCATTTTATTCACGTGTTAGAGGCATCTGCTAGGCATGCTAATGAAATTTTACAAACTATGAGGGAGGGGAAGAATGTGCCGATGTTTACCGTTTGAAGATGTTCAGAGGTTGAATACTTATGCAGGCAGGAGTACCGACAACCACAGCCCAGACAATTCGCTGTTCGGGCGCGTTATCAACCAGCTGAGATGCGACACATACTTCAGTTCAACTGGTTGGCACAAAGGTATAGGAGAAACATGGCACTCACTTGTCATATTGGTGTTGATTAAAACACATTGTGATCGAGAGCAGTCCACAAGACGGGGAATTCACATCTATCCGGGTGAATTCGGTTCTGTAAGTGTAGTAAATAGCTGTGTGGAAAAGTGGACCCTCTTCAGTGGGTGCTTATAGATAGTTCAGTCCTTTTAAACGGTTAGAATGAAATACCTCAAAATGTTTGATAGTACCACTCCTCCACACTGTCTCTTTTGTATCATAGAATTCTGACAGTTTTAGAAAAGAAAATACAATCATATTAAAGGTGGTTCAGAGAGTGGAGGTCAGTAATTCAAATACGGCACGCCGCAATACATCAAATGCGGTGACAAAAATCCAAGCATTCGCCGCATCCTATCCAAGCATTGCTATCCAGTACAGTACACTCCCCCCTCCCCTATCTACTTAAACTAACTTCAACTCATTTCCAACGTTTTTCTAACTCTAATGATGTTAGTTAAATTTGCGCGAATGCGATCACCTAATCCAGCTGTAAGGAGCATTCTTAGACAAGACGGCATTTCACCGTTTTAACTGTCCCACCACCATACTCGGTTGGGCCGGATTCATGGCCATAAACTGCTACGTGCAAAAATATGCTCCATCAAAGCGTGACAACCCCTTCAGAAGTTGAAAAATGACTTAAAGCACACAATGTCACTCATCTCGACTGGAATCTGTTAAAAGAAGTTACGGAACTCAAATACAAACTTTTGCTGATTTAAACAAATGGCCGATCTACAAAAGCCACACAAACGTGACAAAAAGTGCAAGTGTGGTTTTTGTAACTAAGAGTAGTAGAATGAAGCATCTCCAGAGCAGAAATTCTATCGTTTGGAAAACAGAACCCACTCAGTCACGTACACCAGATTATGTTAACGGGTAGGTAATGTTGCGTTCTTCTTTTGCTGATCCCATCCTACTTTTCATACAAATGGGAACAAAATTATCAAAACCGTTAAATTTACTTGATAATGGCTTGAAATTCTTATTTTTGCATGTTTCGTGGACTACTTAAATTTACGTCTGGTTTACATAAATTAAGGTGTTCTTAAAATTTGTCATAGTTAAACAAACAAACAGAATACTCAGTTATCTTTTGTAACTAGGTAGTAAAGTAGTAAACCCTTGCTGGTGAGACCATTGAAATAAATTAGCTATTATTAATAAAGATGAAGTGTTTAAGATTATTATTTTTATTGTACATTTTTAAATTATCCATTAATAACTTAAAAAGGCAAAATAGAGGCTATTATGGTTATTGTCAATACAAAATGGGTAGACCAACTATCCCCTTGTATCCAGCACAATCTCCGTCCGCAAACGCGTTTTTTGGAAGGAAACAGCTATCGTCACTTAGCGGGTTGCTCACTCTACCCTCCTCTCCGCTCCTCGTTCTATAGAAAGGAGGCATAGAAGGATTTGCTTTATGGGCTAATACTTTTGGCGTCCTGAAACTTCCGTTCAAACGGTAGAAGACACAATACTTGGCCAGTACACTAGGGCTTGGTGCTACTGGCATGGTTCAGAAGCCAGACCACCCGGCGGACGTTCAGTGGAGGAGCCCCGTTTACAAATTGAGCGTTAAAATAAAAGGCAATTTTATTTAGCTTAAAAAGTTGCCTCTTAGGGTAAAGTAAGCTATTAACGGAAATACGTTGTCAGGCAGGAAGCTATCAAGACTCCTGCGAATGTGATCCACCAGGGGTACAATTAAGCGGACCCTCTTTGTCCGGTTGGTGTTGAGGAATGTTTTGCCAAGCTCTAGAGAAATGGTCTGTTATTGTTAAGGTTACGAGTGGTGAATCAATTTGTTTATGTTTACTCCAGTGGGAAGAGGATTATGTCCGAGGCTAAGCAACATTGGCATCGCAGGGACCACAGCTGACGGATGACTTACCAACTGACCCGCAATGAGACGTCTTTTTTTTACCAAAACAATGCCCTAAACTCATATCTACTCTGTCTTTCGAAATTGAGCTTTCCTGCTTTATCTGTGTGTCCAGTGCAACACAGGTACAGTTGTTCACCGGTATTTGACCATCTCCTGAATACCAAACAACTACGACTGAGATCCATCCCCTCAGTAGGAGACAACTAGCAAGAATGCAAGAAAATTCCTTTTTTTATGAGCAATTGTTATTAGTCAAACAGTTGACAGAATAACTCACGATATCATGCTTCATGTCGCAAAGCAGGTGCTGGAGGAGGGGCAATGGGGAAGAGATGGGGGAAGGGAGGGAGGGAGGGTTGACTAGATGGAAAGAGGGAATTGGGCTGGCAAATACTGATTCACCTTCTGTATTCCCTGTCACATTCCCACACTTGATGATCATCACCTTTTCTTGCCATTTGACAGACGATAGCGTAACTACTTCAAAAAGGAATGTGTTTTGTTGGAAAATAAAGAGGCCGTGGAAATGACGGTGGCTCAGTTCCGATTACTTTACTTTCGGAGGTAAAACACTTTGTTGATGTGCAGTGCTCAAACTTGTGTCGCATTTGGAAGTGCTGTGTAATGTGTAATAGTGAAATATCGCAAAATAATTTTTTGCTCTTTTCTTAATTATTCGTTTCAAAGAATCATTCAGCCACTCCTATGTATTTGTTAAATTAATGGTCTACTGCTATGTAATTATGAGTGGCCGAATAATTCTTTGCAACAGAACTTAAACTAAGGTAGAAACTATTTTTGAGTTATTCAAGAAAACACATTGAGCATCAATTTCAAAGTCGACAAAGCCTTAGGAGCACCAATTCTTTAAAAGGTCTTACCTTCAGAACTGAAGAAACCGGTTCCTGGTCACCACCATTTCCATTGCACATTCATTTCCAGACCCTCCACACTCTACTGTGGATATAACCACGTAGCAGGAGGGTGGTCGTCACCGCTTCTGCCTTCCAATGTGTGCCCAATATCTGTCAATGCAGTGATTAGCTTATCCGATCCACACAAGCAGGGACCTTGATTTCTTTGTTAAATAGACCTTAGTTAATGGCCACCCTTCTGTGGCGTTCAGTGAATATGGATGAATCTGTGGATGACTGCGCTTAACAGTTACGTTAAAGTAGAGTTCTCTCTGATGGGTAGTAGGGAAATGGAATCAGATTTAAGCTGATTAGAAACGCAACCCAAAGATCTGTATAGGATTCTGTAATAAACCAAGGCATCACATCTACTTCCTTCCTTTCTCCCCGTGTTATTCTAAGAAAATACAAAAGTAACTTTGAAGCCGAATGTGCTAGCAAGTACATCGTCTGACCATTGCATTTAAATCGTTGCACTTTAGATCCCTCGCTTATTCAGATTGGCTTGCAAAAGACAATCTGTTCAGCTGGACCTCATCTGAGTTTGCAAAGCATACTACTATCAGCGAAATCAGCAGCACGAGCTGTGCAATGCGCATTTATAGCATCATTGTCATTTCTGCCTTTTGGTCGGTGGATTGCATAATCACAGGGCCACTTACGACGATGGAGGTAAAAAGATGACTACGAGGAGGCCTGAAGATGAGGCTCAAAATGACAAGTGAAGGAAGAGTAGAAGGAAGAGTTCGGGTCAAGCACAAAAATGGTATTTGACACTAACTATTTACATATTTAATGGCAATTTCTTGTTTTTCGGTCACCGTATCTTAGTTCTCTTACCTTGTTCTTATGTTTACAACCTTATTTCGCACATGCGATTTAGGTGGAATCATTTGTCTGGGAGCATTTAACACTTCTGGGGCAAAAAAGAAGCATCAACATAAATGCATCAAAAATGAAATCATCAGATACTGTCACTTTTCTTTACTCTTTCCCTCTCCTCCATCACAATGAGTCGATCTTTCAAAGTTATATTCTCCGATACTTTGTGCAGTAATCGGACAGTGGAAATCCACTTCTGAGTAAAAGTTGCCCAGCATCTTAAGGTTTATTCCAATCCTCTACTAAAGCACAAAAAATTAAAATCAGACAACCTTGAGACTACAAGATAAAAAATAGCAATTTTATCTCCCTTTCATGAGAAAAATCGTGTTTTCGAAAGGGTGCATACTCTCTTTTTACTGAGGGATGTAGGTCGGTTGGAATTGGCATTAAATTACAGAGGTAGTCACAAATGAGAAAAGCTAGGTGCCAGAAATGTGAAGTATTATAGAGAGAGAAAACCATCCCAAAATCAAGTACCTTTAATCGAGTCTCGCGCTTCCTAATCTAGCTGAAAGCGGACAACATTATCCTATATACCTCTGCATCTCGATAGCATTCGTTTATCACATGGCTAAATTGCAGTTTGCATGCGATTGCGTGATCGTCTGTCGAATGTCAGAGTAAGGTGATAATCATGAAATGGAAAAATGTGATGAGAATGAGGAGGAGAGAGTAACTCTCTCCTTCCCCCTTCCTACCTCTCCTGCTATCCTAACTTGGGCATCACAGTGACAAGTAGTGTTGGGGGTACGAGGCGTTGCGTTCCACTACAGCGATAAGAATAGGACCAGCTCCCAAATGCTTGACCAATTCAGCCTCCTCCTGGAGAAGCTTTTCCTTATTCACATTCGAATAGACCAGTATAATTTCTCTTTGCCTGGTATTCAACAAGTGATCACGACCTAAAGACAGGTGAGCCTTTTGTCTGTTGTCGGCATTCAAATTATAAATTCACAAAAGTGAGGGACCCAAATTTTAGCCAAGCATTTTTGCCAAGTACTGAAACAATTTGTTTACCTCACCTCCGTCTTTCATGCCTCAATATGGCACCAGGCGTGGCACAGATCGTCACATTATCGAAATACATAAATGACCTCTACCTAAATGACTTTGTAGATGAGTTCCTCACTCGAAGGATCGAAGGAGGAGGATATCTGCTTCAGAAGTTTACACCGTTAAGACAGCCAAATGCTAATTTCAAGTTCTGAAGAAGCCTCCTCACTGGGGTTAGATAGGAATGCAACGAGTCAAATTCAACTATATGATTGGAGGCTTTGGGCAAAAAGGGCTTTATGAGGAGGCAAACTACGCAGAAAAGTGCTAGAGTGGACACTGAGAAGGTAGAAGAGCTGCATGGCAAAGAAGTGCTTGCAGTGATTGCATCTTTGATAATACAGGCTTTCAAGCCAAAGTCAGACCTTTTTTATAGTCCTCCAGTCGCTCGATTCGTTGATAATAAATTTCTTACAGAGGTAAATCGTCTACTACTTTCAGCGATAACTGGGATCTCTACAAAGTGTCTCGTGGCTAGTTGCTTCAAATTCATCCACAGTCTCTGTTCTACACACGCACTTCGTGAGGTTTCAATCAACCATCAAATTCTAAATTACATCGAGTTTCAATCACGCTTTTAAAGCCTAATTCTAAAAAGTCAGTTCAATACCTTTTCTCTACTAAAATGTAGTCATTTTATTTTCTAAATCAGAGGTAACAATGGCGCTGTTAATCCATCCTTCATGTATTCGGTCAACAATTTCTCACCTCTACTGCCTAGGGGAATTGTGTGTGGCTTTATCAAATCAAGTGGACAGATTCGCTCCTCAGAGTGGTGATTTTCCAACCCCATCACTTATCCACAGCGGATTCCTTAGCCATGGTTGTTTGTCTTTGGCCGTGATCTGCAAACGAAAAATAAAAGGAGAAATGCGCAACTCCTTTATTTGGGTGAATTTTTGACCTGGGATTTGTTTTGTTTGAAGTACGCAACCTCTAAGCGTCGGTTTCTTGCACAAAACTGCAAGTAGTTAATCACCTGCAACAGTCTTAAGAGCCGCCCGCCTGATGACATATTTTTAGTAACAATTTATTTCGGTTTTCAAGGGCAACTTTTCCAGCTAAACAGAATTGGCTTGTCCAATGCAGTGAACATATCTACGGTAATGGGCTCATCAATTAGGGCTTATCACAACCAAAGTAGATCATTTAGGGAGGGGCCCGTAATAATGGAGATTATATCGCGAAAATGATTAAGTCCATATTTTGCTTTAAAGATGTTAGCGAAATTTGTTGTGAATTTTTAAAATTAGCTAAGTTTACATTCGATGAACTAATTCAAGCTTTGTTTTGAAAATTGTAACTTCAAATTTTAGCACGAGGCGTGGAGCAACCTTCATCTGGGTGGATCATAAGTAGCTTTTAAATATGCCAAGACTTTCGAGCAATAGTTGTACTTCAAAAGGCAGGTTAAGTGATCCGTAAAGGGATGAAATTTTAATAAACCGCACAACATTCAGCATTGTTAATGCGTTAGAACAATTATTCCCTCTCTGACATAACCTCCCATTACTTTTTGTAGGAAAAGAAGCCACCATATCATCTGTTGAGCAACAAAGTACGTCATGCTCTCTAATGCTGAGAAGTGTGGTTTAGTATGATACGCGATACTTGGTTCCTCTTTAGCCTCAACCCAAGCCCATGTAGTAAAGACAGTAACAAGACAGATGGAATAGCTTCACACGGAGGCATTTGTTTGATTCCAATCTAAATAGCACCTTGTAGACAGCGTTACTAATTAAACGTTTTTGCAGGTCTACATCTATTACCGTTCGGTCCACTTTCTTCGCTATAAATCCAATCTGCATTCTGTTGTTGCGTCTTGAAAACCAGCACATTCTATTGCATCTCCTCCATGTGTATGTATGTGTATTTTATACTTTCGAAGAGGCAACAACAACAACACCACAAATGTCCATCTTCATTACGGGTGGATTCGCCGCTACAGTAATAACCAGGCACTGCGTAGCCTGAGGAAAACGCATTTTTTCAGACTTATTTGATCAAGTAAATCTCCCTCTCTCCTCAACCCACAAAGTGTAAGAGGTTGCCTTGAATATAATGTGAAATTTCCCTTTCACTTCAATTCTCCCCTTTTTATGGTAGCACTTTGCAAGCATTTGACACAAGGTGGAAAATTGCATCACTACCTTGAAAAATGCAGTCAAAGTGAATGATGTGGTGGCATTGTCATCACGCACTATCCTGATTGGTCCACTTAAGTGGCATGTGTTTGACTTAATGATGGCACTTCGATGACTTTATTGGCGGCGTGGGCATTCGAAGGAATTCGTAAATTCTATTTTACAAAAATTGCCTCTACTCACTGTGTAAAATTTTTTTTGCTTGAAAAAAAAACAAATGATGGGTTGTAATATGCGAGATCAATTTGCTTGGAAGCTGAGTTAATTCGAAGATGCAAAAAGTTATAAAAAAGGATTATTTTCATTATGGTAGAGGGTGATCAGATTTGTAAAAATGTCGCCTCCCTGATTTGGAGGCCTTTATAACGCGAACAGGTTTCACAGTAGATTTAATGAGGGGTATCCTAGTGAACCTGGAGGGGAAACGATATAGCAATCTCTTTCCTAGACGGGAACCTTTATTGTAAGTGGATTTCTACCTTCACTTTTACTTGCAATTTAATGTAGAAAAATTTGGCCGAAAAAAACAAACGTCCTTTATTTTATCGTAACTAGTGGGAAAAATTAATGAAACCCTGCTGAAGTATTGACAAGGTGATATCAGGTGCATCACCTGATCAGCTAGGAGAGATGTGGTTGGACAATTAAATATTTGTCAGGTTCATGCCTCTGGCTTGGGCATTTCCTTTATAAATTATAACTTTAATTTTGTGTCACACCTTTTAGTCCCTCTGCCAGGGTCATGTTAACGGGATTGGCGGCTTCCGTTTATTCATTCTTTCACTCACCAATTTATCACCTCACTCTCGCACATTTGAAGCTCGTTCCACTGTGTTGCTGCATGCCTCGCAGGGGTTCCTGATTATTCTTCCCTAAAAAGTATCAGTAAAAATAATAGTAGTAATTTTAATGACAACCACTCTATTGCAGTGTTTCACTGTACTGTCAGAATCTTTGTAATGTGGCTCTTTGTGGAAAGTCCACTCAAACTTCATGAATGACGTCTAACACTGAGTATAGGGTTGGTCTGCTTTACTATATTAAATCCTATTTTGTCTGCAAACAAATGCAAATTAGCAAAAAAAAGGAATAGAAAGGAGAAATAATTGCTTTTACTTCATTCATGTAGCATCAATTCGTAGAATGTTGGAGTCTATCCCAAAATCCCTGCAGATGGGTGATACGGCAATGCATTGCTGCATTCTTTATTGAGCGTGTGAGTGAATGAGAGAGATGGCTAGGTTGGAAGGAAGGCAGGCAGAGTGGAAGAATGCAGTTTTTACAGCCTAATGCATTTTCAACCAGCATGATTATAATACAGTGCATTCTGTGAGATTGCATTCCTCCCAGCTGTTATGCGGAGAAACCTGGACTTACAATGAGCTCTTTGGAGTCTTAGACTTTCTCTAGACACAATTTGATTTTCCATTTGCTGGTATTCCGAGTGCATTCAAGGCTTGGGATTAGAAGACAAATTTGTGCAGACTTTTTTGCCGTTTTTCCCTTCTATTGCTGTTTATACCCTCAGTTTTGATGAACTATAATTTAATTTGATAGTCTTGTGGCACCCGGGGTTTTCTGTCGACCCTGTAAATTTGATGTGCATTTTGCGAACAGAAGGAAGATCCTCACGAAATGGTGATCGAAACCCCTGGAACGTAAACAGTATTTGAAGTTGGGCGCACATCTTATCCAAGCACAATCCCAGTACCGTATGATGAGGCGTGGATGGTACTTGACTTCCCTGACTTAAAACCCCTTTAGTAACTAATACTGAAAGCGTTGTTGAGACAATTACTCATATCTACACAAGCAGTATCATAGACTCATTTACCACAACTTGCACATCGTATCTTAAATTCAGTGCTTATTGTGCCAAACGAAATGCCTACAGCTTTTCAAACTGTTTGCCTATTTATTTACTTAGTTAATTGTGTGTTTGAATGTCCAGCAAAGCACCGCAGAACTCACATTTGAACATTGAATAGGGAGCCAATTTGCGATGCCCTTTTTTAACATAAATGTAAGCAGCTAATTTCTGATTGTACAAAATTTAAGGCAGGTCTAACTTTATCCCGTGACCTTGCGATTTCGAAGAAAGGAGGATGAAGTTGCAGCCCTGGCTACATTGACAGAACACGTGCTCCGGGTCTACAGTCACAACAGAGCCTCTAAGCTACACCCGATCTGCTCTATTTGCTAAAATCCGCACAGATTCGGAGGAAAAGGTGGCTTTCACTTTTAGAATAAATTATATAAGTGATAAAAACTCTAAGAGGTGAGGCAGGACTATTTGCAAAATTGGCTAGACGAAGACGGTTTCTGATTGCTTTTCTGAGTGACGAGTAAGACTGTGGAAAATGTTTACAATTTTTCCTATTCTGATTTACCTTTAATGTGGATAAATTGCATTTCTGATTAAGAGGAGTTCAAATGCCCTATTATTAAAAAGCTGTGATTAATATAAATGAGGCAGGTTGCATGTCGAGTGACCTTTTGTAGTTCAAAAGGGTTTGCAACCCTTGCCTAAGCGGGTTTTTTGGTCATCATAGGCTCCAATCACCACCAAGATAGCGTGTCTCCCCGCTTTTGGTACTTTTGTTGACTGTCCTCTGGACATACATACCTAATTTGTGTCTTCGGAAGGGGTGAGATCGTAAAGATTCCCCCCAACACGTGTCTGCAGGTGGAGTCGAATGTCCTTCACACGAATAAGCCTTTCAAATCGCTCTCTAATGACATCACGATGTGGAAATTTTGCCACACTATCTCCAAGGCCTATCCGATATATATTCCATGCATTATTTTCATGCAAAATTTATACGCAGTCCTGCTTCCTGCCACACATTTCGTCCTATATTAGCTGAAGAGAACGAGGTTTGAGTCACAGGTCAGATGTGGATGCCGCTTAGAATCTGTTTCAACGCAAGCACAATTATGGTACTGTATGATGAGGCATGGATGACACTTGACTTCCCTGATTTGAAAACCCCTTGAGTCACCAATGCTTCAAGTGCTGTTGGGACAGTTGCTTTTGTTTAAACCTGCAGCATCATGGACACATTTATGCATACTTAGAAATTAAATTTAACATCTGCTTCATTGAATGTATATTTATTTTACCAATCTTAATACCCACAGTAACTTCTATCAAAATGAGCAATTTAACTAAAACTGTATTTTACTTATAATTGACTTCAAATTGCTTGCAGCTTTTTAATTTTTTACTTTATCGCCTATTCGCTTGAATGTTGTGTGAAGCGATAAAGAAGGCACATTTGAACAATGAATAAAAGGACCACATTCATTTTACTTTTAAGCTTTAAATGCAAGCAGCCAATTTACTATTGTACAGAATTTAAGTCAAGCCTAATTATATCTCATGTCCTTGTGGATTTCGACAACCTTGGGTGAGGTAGAAGGCTTGGGTACATTGACAGAGCACGTCCTGCGCGTCCACAGTCACAACGGAGACTGCAAGTGGCGCTCTAAACATCCTCTTGCTTAAAATCGAGCAGATTAAGAGGAAAGGCTGGCTTTTGCTTTTCGAATAATTTGGATAAGGGATAGAAACGATAAGAGCTAAGGCAGGTTACTTTGTAAAATTCTTCCAGCAAAGATGGCATTGGATTGCTATTTTCAGTAAGGAGTACAAATGCTGTAGAAATGCAAAATTCATTCTCTTCCTGCTTTACTTTATTCCGAATGAATTAACTTTTGCATTTAAAAGGTCTGAAATGCCCTCCAATTGGTAGGTGTTGATCAGTATAAATGAGACAGAGTGCATGATGAGGGAAATTTGATCTTTCACAAAGGTTCACAACCCTTGCTTATGCGGGTTTCCGGTCCCCATATGCTCCAATCACTGCCAAGGTGGCTTGTTATCTAGGTTCTGACAACTTTGTTGGCAGTCCTCGTGACACACACCTAATAAGTGTCTTAGAGGGGAGAGGGATAGATGAAATTGAGGCATTACATTTCTCCTAATTATTGGTTTCAGGTGAAAATTAACATCCATCATATTGTTAAAACTTTAAGTAGCTCTTTAATGACTCCACGAAAGAAAAGTCTGCATGAAATTATGCAGCATTATGGACTTAATATGTGACAGAGCAATGTTTCCGTAGGGTTGACAACTTTGCTACAATATTACCGAGGTCTATCGAATATCCAGTCAATGCATCATTTCAATGCCACATGTATACGCAGTCCAGTCTCCTGCCACGCAGTCTGTCCTACATTAGCTGCAGAGCACGCGGCTGATGTCACAGATCAAATGTTGATTCAGCCTCGAGTTCACATTCAACGCATTTGTCAGCCGCATGTGGTGGAGTAATTATTCAAGTTGGCATATAACCAAATGTTCACGTGGCATACAACTAAGGCAAGTACAATCTTCAACACCATGGCCACGTGCGTGGCAATATGGCAACTGAAAAAGTACAGTTGGGTTTAAAATGGGGATTTGGCACGTAATTCTGCTTTTACACATACACACACACGCAACTGCATTTGAGATTGGCAATTCACAAAAAGGCAAACATCAAACTCCTTTTGTTCAACTGTTCTCATATTCGGCATTCTTTATCGTACCTGTAATCTGCGATGCCGCTGAGGTCGTGTGGCTAACAACGTTTAGTTTTTATTCTATTAAGATTTGCAGCTACAAAAACAATAGACGAATTTGTAGACTTTACACATGGACAGAACATTGACATTTAACATGGAGTAGGGCTTGGAGCTACTGGCATGCCTCAGAGGCCAGTCCATCCGGCCAATGCACAGTGGCCAACACACAAAGTGAACCTTCACTGAAAGCGAGGGTTAAACAAACAAATATTGCAACCATGCCAGTCATCGGATTTGCATGCGGCGGAGAAGATAATTAACCTCAACATCATTGATACCTCGTCCTGAGTCTACTGGATCTAGAGCTTCCTCCTGTAGGAGAACTGCATTGGAGCTACGAGGGAAAGTGCTGGCCATCACCCACGCCCATCACTAGCCCTAGGAACACTGGACAGAAGTGAAATCAAAAAACAAAAAAATGGAGTTTAGCATAGTTTTATGTGAGTAAGGTATCGCCTCTATTACTGCTTGTCAATTTGTCCTCGCATCTGTGAGGCTTAGTCACATCTATCTGGGTTCCATCCAGCAAACAATATCGTAGAGGTGTTTGTACACGATTTTGTAATAAATAGCATAATTCAGGGAGCGTAGGGGGCTGCGTAACGTAGATTTTTCTTATGGTTTACAGCTAGTGATGCTTTTATTGTAAAATAGCTTCCCTGCATACCATGGAACTGGAGTAGTTGCCGAGTGCAGACGTTATTTGTATTCCCTCCATAGGGGTTGTCGCTTTGTTGGAGCATTCTTTGGCGCTTAGTAGTGTATGGCCATGATTCCATTGTAACTGAGTGCCGTGATAGGATAGTTGGATGACCAAGAGCCGCCTTGTGTAAAAATGTTTCTAACGGTGGGATAAGGTGCTCGCATTCGGGCAAATTTAACTAACATCAGTGGAGTTGGAATAAAGTCGAAAATGAGCTGGAATTGGTTCTAAGTGAAGAAAGGAGGGAGGAGTCAACTGTGGTGAATAGCTATGCTTGAATAATATGTGACGAATGTCTGGACCTGCCATTGCATTCGATGCACTGCTGCATGTAGTATTGGGATTGCCGACCTCCTACTCTCTGATACACCCTCAATAAAAGGGTGTTTTGATCCTTAAAATTCTCCGGAATTTTGTATTGAAAAAGGAGAAGAAAATTTAGAGGAGAGATACTAAGAAACATTTTGAGGTATTTCATTCCAACCGTTTAAAAGGACTGAACTATCTAACAGCACCCACTAACGGGGTATAAATTTCCACACAGCAATTTACTATACGTACTGAACTGATTTAAACCAGACAGATGCGATTTTCTTCTCGTGTAAACTGCCTTTGATTACGTTATGTTTTGACTTTAACACACTCATCACCAACATGACAAATGAGTGATATGTTCCTCCTATACCTTTGTGACCATCAATTGATCGAATTTATGCGTCTTACTTCGGTTGGATGATAAAGACTTCTAACAGCGAAATGTCTGGGCTGTGGTTGTCGGTTCTCCTGTCAGCAAAGGCATTTAAGCTCTGAACATCTTTAAATGACAAACATCGTCGGAGTCTCTCTCCGCACCTCCCCACTCTTTGTAAAATTTTGTCAGTATATCTAGCAGTTGTTGTTAACATGCCAATGAAACGATTTTTATCTTATTAACCTGGATGACCGATTGTACCACAAAATGATTATTAAACCGCAACAACAGAGGATATTATTAAGGTAGAGTTCTGCGTCTTGTTTTAGTGGTAGCAAGTTACATACAGAATTAGTGAGGGGCGATGGGCGCAGCCAGTGTGTCGTGTCTCCAAGACGGAGGCATAGAGCATGCGGAATCAAGAGTGTACCTAGAAATAAATGTAACATGACACTCGTATCCTGCTTTGCATAGGGTAAACAGAAGGTAGATAAGTATTTTAACAGCTATGTCACGCTGCTTGACAATGACACTCACACGTTGTTACACGCAGCATTCGGAGTGAGCACAGATAGGACAAGAAAAATTTGCCTCCAAGTAGCAGTCCACGCGGTTATCAATGACATCCATGTCTCCAGAGATTACTGAATTGAAATGTTTTGAAAAAAAAGTGCCGTTTTTGCTGGCATAGGAGTAAAAAGAACTCATTAGATGGTAGTAGCCTATGAGCAGTTTCCGATCTCTTTAATTTACTTAAAAATGCAAACAGTCAGTGGTCAAGTAAATATCCTACCAAAGTTAGCAAAAGAAAAAAAAATTATCTATAGATAGGAATGGAATTAATGAAGGTGTCCATAACCGTAAAGTTAGGGTTTCTTTCTCCGAATCCTTGAATTTTACCACAAGTTCACCTTCCCAAATGCTGAGGATTGGTCTGCAGTCAGCGGTCTGCCTGATTTACCCTTCCAACCGCTGATTGGTCAGTTTTCACTTAATGGCACTTTGAGTGGGCTCATGTGAACATCAAACATTATAAATACCCGAGAATGGAATCGGTTTATGATCCAGCACTCCAGCTTATCGGGATTTAGTCAACTAATTGCCGAAGTAAGCCTTATTTCTCAATAAACTTGATTAGGGTCTAGCTAGCGCTTGCCCTCACAAAGAAAAGTATTTTTGCACCTAGAAATGAGAAAAAAACCATATACATTCGTAGCAGTCATTCCAGAGCCAAAGCTGGCTTATGCATGGAGGTTTTCGTGGTGTAACAAGTGGCATCACACTTCCCAAATCACTTCCAATTGAGTCACGGCCTTCCTAATTTAGCTGAAAGTAGACAAAATAATCTCGGAATTCCCTGTTTCTCCTTCACATTCATTTACCAAATTGCTACGTTATAGTTTACATATGATTGCATGAACGTCTATCAAATGTCAGGCAAAAGTGATAGTCATCAAATGTGGAAATGTGGTGAGAATGAAGGGGAGTCAGTACGTCGCGCCTCTCCCTTCCTACCCCCTTCCTGCCATGCTAGCGTAGGCATCGCATTGCCAAGTGACATGGAGGTATGAGGTGTTGCGTTGTACTGCAGTGATAAGTATTGGACCTGCTTCTAACTGGTGGACCAATACAACCTCCTCTTGGAGAGGATTTTTTCCACACACTATTGAGAGTACTAGTTTTATCCCTCATTGCTGGGCGTTCAACAAGTGAATCCGGCTATATAACAGGTTGGTCTATACTCCACCACATCGCACACAAAGTCGATGCAGTATGGGAAGGATGAAGTATTGGATGCCTTGCAAGTGTAGGGTGAGTAGGCCGTAGTGAATGGCTCGTTTTGTGGTAACCAAAGCCATTTTAGTTGCATAACAACCAGTGGAATACAAGGGACATTTCCCATTACAAATGCAGGACAGTGGACAATTCTGCAAAAAAAATGAGAAAAAAGAAATAAGTTAAAAGTCCGTCAAGTCTATTGTCATCTGTCAGTGCATTAAACAGCAGCACACAGATGCCTTGTCCTCAGTGATCTTTAACACTTTTGCTTTCCAGTAGAAGCGGGTATAAACCCAATTGTTTCATTACTTGGGGATCTAAAAACAACTGAACATCATTTTCCATAGGTTACTTTAGCATTCTTGTCTTTAAAATGGATCGTTCAGATAAATTATTTAAGACTTTATCACCAGAAAGTCATTGGGTACTGAACTCTACGATCTGCTACCTCCTGTCACACCTTTTCAATTGCTGTACATGACAAATTTAACAAGGGTCAAGGTAGAGAATATAAGGAGCGAAGCTGCAATTACACCGCACCAGACCCAGGTATTAGTTTTTGACATGTCATCTCACCGTTGCTGAAAGGGGAGCTGATAGGTGACATATTGACGCACCCGCAATGCTAGGACTCGATGGGTGAAGGTACGTGCATAAATTTGACATATGCTTGCGACACGTCAGAGGGTAACCGCATTAGCTTGACAGACACCTGCGACAAGTACCGAGTTATTGCAGTAGCAAGTCAAGTTGGAAGGAGTGTTGAACGCACGCATGCATTATGCCTCCTCCCCTTGTTGCGTGTACGCCAGACGTTGAGCCCTGCGTTGTCAATTGCCCTCAATTTGAACTGGCATATATCATTTGAGCAAATATTACGCAAATTACCTCATCTTTACTCGTGGATGGCAGAGTTTTTTTTGAATTGCAGGGTTCAGTTGCATGGAATTCTATGCAATAAAATCTTTACATTCCTCTATTCATATTTCAATGGGAAGATGTTTGGAAGAATTGATAATTACAGGATATCTGGAAGTCTGGATGGATACGGGATGGATATTTACAAGATAAATACTGCATGAATACGGACTGGACGAATGGATGAATTAATATATGGATAGATAGTGGATGGATGGGTGGATGAAATAATAAAGGGATCCCTTTAACCAACTGCACTCAAAGTTGTACAGACCTGTGGGTGTCCAAAATGATAATTTGTCTGAGTTTCCGACCTTAGATGAAGGGAAGGCATCTCTATCGAATACCAAAGCAGATGAAGTAGGTCCTAGACGGAATCTACCAAATCAATGTCGCAATGGCGTAATGAAAATGTGCCTTTTCCGTTGACATTCAAATTATGCATTCGCAAAGACAAAAGACTCAAATTTTGGCCAAAATTTTAAATAAACACTGAAGCAATGTTTTATGTTTAACCTCTATGAGTTATTAGGCCACGAGAAATGGCACAGAGAATCTCATCAATGACATATGTCAACGGCCTCGACCCATTTAAATTTGTGCACGGGACCCTCACCCAGGGGACCAAGGGCGGTTACCTGCTCTGTATGACGAAACCGTTAAAACAGCGAAACGCCAATTTCAAATTCTCCACAAGCCTCACTACTGTGGTTAGATAAGAATGTAAAGCGCCAAAGTCACCTGTATGGTTGGAGATTTCATGCAAAACCATCTTTATGCTAACTGTGCATGAAATTGGTGGAGCTGACACTCAGAGGGAAGAAGAGCTGTATGGAAAAGCGCGCTTCCTGTGATCACGTCTTTGATAATACAGGTTCTCAAGTCGCCGCCAGATCTTGCTTATAGTCCGCCAAGTGCAGTGGCAAATGGCATAATATGTTTGGAAATGAGACATCTCGTTGTAACAGTGTCTCGTAGGTAATTGCTTCAGGTTCATCCGCTGTCCCGGTTCTACAAGCGCCAAATCCTAAATTACACCTAGTTTCATTCATGCATCTGAAGACTAATTCTGCAAAATTAGTTCAGTGCCTTTCCTCCACAGAATTGTAGCCTTTATATTAGAGGTGACAAGGACACTACCAATTCATTCTCCATGCATTCGGTTAGAAAAATTTTTCTCTTTCATTGCCTAGGGGAATTGTGGGTGGCTCTCTTAAGTCAGTCAAAAGATCTAGATGAGAGAAGTGAGTAAATTTACCCCTCAGAGTGGTAGTTTTCAACCCATTCGCTTATCCATACCGCAACCCATATATTTAAGGAACTTCCTCAGCCATCGTTACTGGTGTCCAGCCTTGAGTTGTAAATGTAAAAAAAGGAAATCAAGACGGCCTACTACACCATTTAAGTGGATCTTTTGAACCGGGATTTGCTTTGTTTGAAGGACACTCCTTCAGATCGCAATTGAGGTTGGCGAGCACTTTAAGAGCTCCCCGTCTGGTGACATATTTTCATTAACAAGTTATTTTAGCGTAAAGGGAAAATTTTCTGGTCAGACAGAATGGGCTGCCTAATTCAGTGAACATATTCACTGTAGTGTGTGCAGTGTCTGTACCGAGGGCTCATCAATTAGGGCTTATCACAACTAAGGCAGTCCATATAAGGACCGTCTCTGAAAATGATTTAGTCTGTATTTTGCTATAAAGTTATTAGCAAAATTTTAGGTGAATTCTAAAAATCAGCCGAATTTACACTGGATTAACTTATTCTAACTTTGTATTCAAAAATCACGGATTAAAATTCTGCCACGAGGCATAAAACAACCTTCATCTGTGTAAATCATAAGTAGCTTCTAAATAAACCAAGTCCATTGGGTTTAGGTGGTTATATTTTTATGGCGAGGGACAGACTGGGTGATCTTCAAAAGGATGCAATTCTAATACACCATTTGTTTGCCTCGCGGTTTTGATAGAGGACCACTTCAGTTCTCCGCCACCGTAGGTCCACCGAATGGCCTAACTTCCAGGCAATGCCAGGATCCCGAAGCGCTACTGTAGGTCGACAATGCATTTTTTGCAGGTGTATTACGTCTTCTCTTATCTTCGAGGAGATCTCAGAATGCTAAAGAAATATCCATTAAGTAAACCTTGCCCTTTCTCATTTTCTCCAATCCAGGAGCGCATAGAGGAGTAAAAGCGGCGATAACTAAAATACATGTCAGCCAACGCAGATCGCGTTAAAAAAATAAAAGACATCATTGATTCTCTCTTTTTGCGTTGACAATGATCAGAACAAACCCTAATTTTTGCTTTCTCCTCATCATCAATGGAAATCCAAATGCACTTTAGGAATGTTATTATTGAACACTTCAATTTTAATGGAAATATCAATGGTAATTTGGAATTTTCACTAGTAAGTGGATGTTAATTTACCGCCCAATTGCAAATGATGAATGAAGATCTCATTTGTTTGTTTAACTGTATGAAATTTTAATGACCTCTTAGTTTATGTAAAGGAGATGTAAATTTTGAAGATTTCGTCCATATTTATATGGATAATAAAATAAAATCTGCGAAAGGAAAATGTAACCTTTTCCTACACTTAAGCCTAATTCGGTGTACGTGACTGAGTAGGCTGTGGTTTCGAAAAGAGAACTTTTCTGTACTGAAAATACTTCTGTCTACCCTGTTTTGAGGTGCGTTAAAATCAAACTTATTAAGTGTTGAAGTGATTCCTCAGATAGCATTTACTTATGACTCTTGTGCTGCTAACTATCTCACGGTACCAGACATAGAATGAGGTAGGGATTGTTTTCAAACTTATTCCGAAAGTTTGCTTGAATCTTCCGAATTTGGACAAGAGAATATGATCTGCCCATTAGCTAACTATTTGACCGCTACAAACACTGAGAGTGAATGAATAATTGTGCAAAGTTGTAATACAACCCGCTGAAATTATTAGCAGAATTTTAAAGAAACATGTCAACTCTGAGTGAGAATTTAATAACACAATGCAGTTGTCAAGCTCAGCTTTAATTTCCTCTTTATTTGAAGCCTGAGGTGGTTCCATCTTGTCTAATTTTTAAGCCGGTTTTACCTCCTCCTCCTCCTACTCTAGCCTGTAGTAGGTTCAGATGCCATTGTGAAACATATCTTTCAAACTCACGTGTTTTACAGACGAAATTTGATTAGGGTGAAGAAACACTCACCACCATTCATCGCAATGAATTGTGTGGTGTCATTCAGTAAGAGGTAAGAAGAGGAGGGTAAGGCTTGGAACATCACTTGCAGAAGTGTTTAATCTGCTTATGAGTGAAGGATCTACCAGGCTGGCAGCTGCGTCAACAGAAAAGAGAAAGTGATGGCGACCATTAGAAGAAGGAGTGCGGACATTGCCATGTGATGCACTGACCGAAGACGATGGACTTGAAGGACCATCAACTTATTCCTTGACTCTCATTTCTTTTGTTGACTGCCTACTGACTCGGCTTTGTGATGGGAAATAGCTTTCGTATTGCACTGTTCCCTAAGCGGCTAAACACAACGTTGGTTATCCAAAAACAGACCATTTACCACGATCAACTCATCTCACAAATGGAAGGTACACAGAACTTTATCCTCATAGGACACTGTCGATATCCCGTTTCCAAAGGAAGAGAAATGTTACAAAAGTGACACTTGCAATGTTATCCCATTTTCGTGTAGATTTTGTGGAATCACCTTTTGATTAAATCAACAAGCGTTTTCGCTTGATTGACGTAGCGTTTTCTGGCAATTTTTAAGCGGGACGGGTGACTTTGTATGTAGTAATCCAAGAAATTCAATGTTGTATCTGTGGCACGTGCGGAAAGGTATTTGGCATTAAAAAACTGCTGCATTTAGTTTCCTGTACTCCACAGCTAGCATTACCAATGAGTGAGAACGCATAATCCCTCTATGAAGTGGCCTCCTTCACCCATCTATGGGAAAACGAGGCACCACGTCGTGTGTTGAACAGCAAAATGTGTCATACTCTCTAATCGTGAGGATAATGGTGTAATACTAAGCTCAATGTTTGGCTTCTCATTAACCTCAGTCCAACTCATATAGTAAAGACAGTTACAAGGCAGATCGAATAGCTTCACTGGAAGGCATCTCTTTCATTGGGGTCTAAATAACAACTCGCAGACAGTGTTACTTAACAGCAGTTTTTGCTGGTCTACATCCATTAGTGTTTGGTCCAGTTTCTTCCTCTATAAATCGGATCTGCATTCCGCTACTGTGTTTTGGGAATCAGCTTATTTAATTTCTTCTCCACCGTGTGTGTGTAGGTGTGTTTTTACACTTTTGAAGGGGTAATAACAAGACGAATGCCCATCTTCCCTACTGGTGGATTCACCTCCATAGCAATAACCAGGCATCGTGTCGCTTGGAGTATACATTTTGTAGGCTAATGTAAACGTGCAATTCGTTCCGCCTTTCTTTCTCTCTCTCTTGCTTGCTGTCCTGCAAAATGCAAGAGTTTACCTTGAATAGAATGTGAAGTTGCCTTTCCAATCCAGTCCTCCTTCCTATTTTAAAATCGCCTCAGAAATATTTGAAACAAGGTGGAAAAATGCACCATTACCTTGAAAAATGCATTAGAAGTGAATGATGTGGTGGTATTGTGGCCACGCACTATTCTGATTGGTCCACTCAAATGACACTTGTGCGACTTGGTGATGGTACCTCGATGACTTTGTTGATGGTGTAGCGTGACAACAAATGCCTGTTTTCACTGAATAAACATTTTTACATAAAAAACTAGCGTTAGAATACAGTATGAGAGATCGATACACCTGGAATTTGAATTAAGTGGAAAATGTGAAGTCGTGACTTACAAGGATTATTCCCGTTATGATAGAGGGTAATCCTATTTATAAATGCCACTTCCCTGATTTAGAGGTCCTTTTAAGCAAGCGAATTTCACAACTGACTCCATGAAGGAGCTCCCAGTGGACTTGGAGAGGCAAAGACCTGACAATTTCTTTGCCGGACTGAAACCCTTATTGTCAACGGGTTGTTACCCTTGAATTTAATTGCTATTTAATGAAGGAAAAGTTATCGGAATAATCCCAAAATTGCCTTCTTTTTAGCCTAACAAGCGTAAAAAATCGACAAAATCGATAAAATCCAGTTCAAGCATTGACATGGCGGGGTTCAATCAATCGATTCCCTGTCTACAGTTGATATCGATTTTTTGCCAGTGCCTCACCTGATCAGCTGGACAGGATGCGATTGGACAATTAAATATCCGGCGTTGAATTTGAAAAGCACTTTCTCACTTACTGTGCAGGTTTTCAACTCTGGCTTTGGCATTTCCATTTTAATTTATTATTTTATTTTTCATGTCACACTTTTAGCGCCTCTGCCGCGGTCTTATTAACAAAATTTTGGCCGATCAACTTCCTTTTATTCATTCATTCACTCACTCGCCGTCTAATCAGGCTTTGTAGAGGTTCCTGCTAATCCCCTCATAAATGATAGTAATAGCAATCAAATTAGTAGTTTCTAATGTCAACGACTCCATTGCAGTGTCTAATTGCATTGCCATTTTATTTGTACTTTGGCTCTTTGTGGAAAGTTTACTCAAAATTCGTGAATGGCGTCTGACCTGACCAAAGTCGCTTATGACTTGAATACACTCAGTGCGGGGTTGGTCTGCTTCTTTTGCTTACAAACAAGTGCAAATTGGCAAGAAGAAGGTGTAGAAAGAAGAGATGACTGCCTTTTACTTCATTTTACGTAGCCTTAATCAGTGGAAAGTAGGAGGGCATACCGAAATCCCTCCAGGTGGGTGGTGCTGCAATGCATTACTGCATTCTTTGTTGAGGGAGGGAGTGAATGAGAGAGATGGATAGGTAGGAAGGAAGGAAAGAGGAGAAGTATGCAATTCTTTTAGCCTAATGCATTTGCTACCCAGAAAAGTAGATTTTATCGTAGACTGCGCAGCTACATTCCTCTTGTCTGTTGCCTGGAAAAACCTGGACTTGCAAGGAGTTCTTTGGAGCCTTAGACTTTCTTAAGCCAAAATCTGATTTACCATTTGCCGGCATTTGGTGTGCATTTCAGATTGGAATTATAAAATAAATTTTTAAAGCCGTTGTTTCCTTTTTTCTCCTTCTTTGGCATTTGTTCCCTTGAGGTGGGTTTGTTTGTTAGTCTTACGTCACCTGAGGTTTTCTGTTGACCCTATGAAGTGAATGAAACCGGCAGGAACGGAAGGATGATCACCAAAGCGGCAGTCGGAACCTCTGGAGGGTGAGAAGCCTTTAAAGATGCCTGCACAACTTATCCAAGCATAATCACGGTACTGTAAAATGAGGCATGGATGGTACTTGACTCCTCCTCCTTTAGTTACTAATGTTTAAAGCGTTGTTGGGACAATTACTCATATGTACACCAGTAGTAACATGGACTCATTTACCCCAAGTTGCACACCGTATCTCAACTTCAGGGTTAATTTTGTCAGCCGAAATGCCTACAGCTTTTCAAATTACTTGCTTATTTATTTACTAATTTAATTATGTGTTTGAATGTCCAGTCAATCACTGCAGAACTCACATTTGAACACGGGATAAGGAGCCCGTTTGCAGTGCTCCTTTAACATATAAATGTAAGCAGCTAATTTCCGGTTGTACAAAATTTAAGTCAGGTCTAACCTTGACCTTGCAAGTTTCAACAAACAAGGATGAAGTCGTAGCGCTGGCTACACAGTCACAACAGAGCCTTTAAGTTATGCTCGAAATGCTCTGTTTATTTACATCCATGGAGATTTGGAGGTTAAGGTGACTTTTACTTTTGGGTAAATCAGATAAGGGATAAAAACGATAAGAGGTAGGGTAGACCACTTTATACAATTCGTCTGGCGAAGATCGCATCTAACTGCTTTTTCAGTAAGGAGTACGAATGCTGGATAAATGCACAATTTATTCTCTTCCTACTTAATTCCATTCTGGATGAATTAATTTTTTATTTAGGACAGCGTATATGTGCTTTAAATGGTAGGTGGTGATTAGTATAAACGAGGCATGGGGCATGACTTGGGACTGTTAATTGGTCAAAAAGGTTCACAACCCTTGCTTATGCAAGTTTTTTAGGTCTTCATAGGCTCTAATCACCACTAAGATGGCGTGTCTTCCCGGTTCTAGCAATTTTGTTGACAGTCCTCCAGATACAGACACCTGGTAAGTGGCTTAGAGAGGAGAGGGAGGGGTGAGGGAATTGAGGAGCCACAATTCTTCCAATTTTATGGTTGTCCGTGGAATTAATGCGCATCGTATTGTTGGGCTTTTCAAAACCGCTCTTTAATGACTACATTGGAGAAAATCCTGCAAGAACTTATGCAGCATTATGCACCTGACTTGTGGCAGAGCGCTATTTTGGTAGGGGGCAACAACTTTGCAAAAATATTTTTATGATCCATCGAAAAATTCAGTCGATGCATCATTTCAGTGCCTCATGTATACGCGGTCCAGTCTCCCGCCACTCACTTCATTCCACAATAGCTGAAGAGCAGGCGGCTTATGTCACAGATCAAATGTGGATGCAGCCTCGAGTTTAAACTCAACGCATTTGTCGGCCAACTGTAAGGCGGAGTAATTATTGAAATTGACATACAAACAACGCGATATTCAAACATAATAAGTGCAGTCTTCAGCACCATGGCCACGTACGTGGCATAATAGTAAATGCAATAAAAAGCAGTACTTTTATCGAAACCCTTGTTCTTACCTCGCACTGGCATCTGCCACTGCAAGTGCTTTTATCAAGCGATGATTGACTAAATCTTGATTGGCAAATCTTCATTAGGGGTAAACCTGGAAGGTTTTTAACTAAAAAAATGCAGCTAAATATAAAATGTGAATTTGGTACATCATTCTGTTTTAATCATATACACACACATGCAAATTCAGTTGGCATTCGCATTTCACAAGAAGGCAATCTTCAACCTTCTCACGATCAACAGTTTTCAAAATTGGCCCTGTTTATCTACCATGCAATCTGCAATACCGTTACATTTATGCGTGATTATAAGTGGTTAGCTTTATGTGATTTTAGTTTTGCAATTATAGAGAGTAAGAAGCCGAATCTTAACCCTAAGTGGCGAATCTTGCATTTTCTTTATAAACCTACACTTGGTCAAAATCTTAATGAAGTAGATTGATGAATTAATTATGTTTTTGCGATTAATTCACCTTCATATTGTGGCTGAACCTTTCTTGAGTGAATTATTAACGGAATAAGACCTAAGATTGCATTCCTCTTTTTAAATTCGTATTTATCTACTCATCGCTTAGCGTATTCGTGTTTTAAAGTTCAGATTTTTCATAAATACGTCAAAATTTCGTGTTACAACTGCTTACAACAGTGTTTCTGGGAAGAGGTCTATTTTGTAAATAAACTTACCTAAAATTTTTGCAACTCAAAAGTCGGCTAAAAAAATACTTGATACCACCGTTATGTAATTTTTGCAAATGTTAGTTATTACTAGTCAGTTGTGACCTTGTAAACCGTAGGTGGCCTCTCAATTTAAATATCGATTCCCCAGCGAATCGAGGGACATTTTTCAAGCCGTTGCATTAAAATTCTTTTGGAAATCACAAAAATCCACTGACCTTAAAAGATGTCACAATCTGTAGATTTTGTAATGCGAGTCAAAATAAAGGCTATCCATTCCGACAATGATTAAAAAACAGAACAATGTGGTTCCATGTTGACAAGGCTATGGCTTTGCACGTAATGGCAGGTCCAGTATGTACAAATTGGAGCGATGTATATGTACAAATTCCGCCTAGATGAGCTGAGATGTCAAAAACATACAGATGCTTACTAGAGGTAAACTAAATTCTACACGTGTGTTCACATTTGTGAGGGATTCTTTTTGCTCTCATCATATGGCAGGAATGGGCTATCACAAAGAAACGCTGAGGTGTCAAGCAATGTTATCTAAGAGCTTAGAAAATATACGGATCTCAGAATCTGCGATCACCTATGGATTTGCTACACTAAGGGAGGAGTTGCTTTTAACACCTGTACACGATATGTTTTCACACCATCTGTGGAACCTCTCGGATGGCACTTGATTAGGTCGAAACTCCCGTGCCTTCGTCCACATTTTCACATTGTTCATAGACGGAGTCAAGTAGGCTGGAGCACTGGATGGGGTGGGGAGTGGACTTCTTTGGAATTCCGCATTTAGATTTGGTATGTAGGTGTCGTAATTGCTTCGGATACTGGCAAGGCTCTCTCGTCGACTCATCATCCACGAGGGTGGTGGGTGATTGTTCTTTAGCAGATCGCCCTTCTCCAATGGTGTATTAGGTTGAAGTGGAGTGAGATGAAGGGGGGAGGGCAGATTGTTGAGATGTTGAACCAGAAGAAGTTTGGGCTCCTCAGGAGCCACTGTATTAAGGTTTAAACTTGAGCGGAGTGGGGGCTTTTCAATCTCTACATTTGAGGCTTCAGCTACCTGGCTAGTGTTACTCGGAGATGCTTGGACTTGGGAATTGGTCAAAGGACTCAGTCCACGCGGTTTCTGTCGTCGTTGACGTTTACTCCCAGAGACACTGGAGCTCCCACGGGAAAGGGAGTTGCTATAACCCACTCTGGATTTTTGTGGCAGCCCGAATTGATGAGAAAAGGTTTCAGTTCGGAGTCGAGTGTTTATATCATTACATTGTAGTCGAAGAATGTAGAGAAATGGCAAACGAAATTCTCGGTTAAATAGCGCGTAGAGGAGAGGATTTAGGAAACTGTTTCCATAGCCTGCAATATTTAAAAAGGAAAGTTTTTATCGGACTACTGCATTTATCCCCTATCTATTTATTACTATACTTCAATTATAAACTTTCCAGTCGCCCTCTTTACCCTGACTTTTGCAATGAAGTTTAGCGGAGTTATCAGTTTTGTTTAATTCAATGAGTGGTTTTGCAAGTTTTATCCACAGTGTGCAACAACCAGATACTTGGCTTGTTTTTGATAGAAAAAGAGGCGATCAAGACAGGATTTTGGCGTTTTGCAGTGGCTTATACAATCAGAATTTTATTGTTAGTAGAGTATGGCCTTTGCTCTTCTATATTCTTGGTAAGACCAAAAGATGGTAGTAATTTTAATGGAACAGGTTAAGGTGAATTAGGATGAATATTTGCAGCTATAGAAATAAAAGTGGAGGCTCAACAATGCGCTTTTCCTCTTGCCAGTGGACTACTAAGGGTGTCTGCTTTTAATCTTTCATACATCCCCTCCTTGCATCCTCCTTTCCTGCTTTGAACGAGCTTCTATTGGTTCAATTTGTACTGCGCTGGTCTTGAAACTACACCATGCTGAAATTATCAGTGCATAAAGTTGCTACACTCCAGAGGATCATGTTGGCTTTTGCATTTTTTGACCAAAAAAACGAATCCTTAGGGAGCATTAAAAAATTTGCCCTTCTCCTCTCTTACTACTGCCTCCGCAAGGGCTAAGCGGGCATTCTTTTCTTCCCCTTCTGCTAATGATTAATTCTTGCAAACATAAATTCGGGCTGATTTTAATCTTTTCTTCGACAATTTTCAATTTTTCAACATTAAAAATATTCTATTTATCTTCTAGACATAAATACAAACGTGTTTTGGTGACCGCAATTTATAAACTTGGACTCTGTCTGCATGTATATTAGCAATTCATTGGAAATTTATGCGGTAGAGATGTGCGGCACTCTCCATGAGAGATAAAATGATTTATGTGAATTAAGATGTATAAACATGAGCTCCATCTTGATTCTTGCCAAATGCCAATAAAACTTAACTACGAATTGACGTGCATTTGACACTTTGACAGAGGGGAGTAAACTCACCTAGCCAGATGAACACCTGAAAGAGGGTAGGGGGAATGGAGAATCTTTGCTCTGTGAAACAGTTGATGATTGGAGTTATGAGCTAAAATTTTAAAGGGGCAAATTATGTATTCTTGCTCGGGAAAACTGTGGTACATGTGTAATAAACCTTAATAGTAATAACACAAGCAAACTTTTCTTCCTAGAACAGTATTAGTTGGTACGTTGTACTCTTTGTCTGCCAAATGGCTTTGAAAAGCGGTCAGATCTCATGGCCGCTGAACTTAACTACTCCCATTAAGGCAACATTTTGAGCCCTAGTGCCAAGATGTCTTATTTAATGTTTCAGTAAAATAAGCTGACAATTAACTCCCGTTTCGTGCAGGGACAAGCATATAGAAAAATTTCCTAAGTAATTGCGTAGTTTTAGAATGCAGTATTTTTTCTTTTTTCCAAGAATGAAACCATCTTTCTGGGTATTTGAAAGGTTTAATTGCCATTTTGTATGCCTCTAACTATACAAGGCGAACGAAAATGCTTAAGTGACACAATAAGGACAATTTTAAAAAAATGGTGACAGAGTTGTATTTAAATTTGATGCATTTTAAGTCATTATATCAGTTCACCGAGTGTGATGTAAATTTTCTTTTAAGAAGTTCAAAAATTTTCACTTTTTCCATTTTTTTTTAAAACAGCAACATATGCTTGACTAATTATCGTTGCAAATGGTTTGTCTGTTAATTTTGCAAAATTTGCTTAACTTTAGTGCGTTGACTAAGCTTTTTTGATGTCAGAATGACGGATTTCTACACTTAAATTAATTTAAAACATTTAGGGCAAAATTTAGAAGAAACTGCGGTGACTTTGTGGGAAAAAACTCGGTCAGGTACAAGAACAAAGATGAATTAAATTTACTCAGGGGATTGGAATAACTTGGTAAAGCTGTCTTAAATTATTCTCCCTGTACTTTGCGTTATCACACCCCTTGAATATCTTTACCATAAAATAGCGGGCAGAGACTGACATAAATTTCACTCCCACCAAAAAATAACTGCGTTATACCACTACCAGTGCAGCTTCAGTTGTTTGTTGACGTATTGTTTCTGTCTCTTTGAGCTCTTAGTATAAAAGAGCACTTTTTAGGTATCGAAACATGCACGCAGGACATGTAAACACACATAGTATGCTAGTTAGTTGGATTTTGGTTCTGCAAGAACGGAACACCAATAAAGGCAAATACATACCTCTTTCGGAATACATTAAACAAACTCGCGTATAAGTAATCACTTTGTTATAAACTTTAAGATTTATTAATAGACAACATCAAACACTCCAATAGGTTCAAAATCTACCATAAATTTTTTTATTAATAAAACAAACCAATTCTGTTGAAGACAATCAGTAAAGATCTTGTACACGTCAAAGTGGGGTTAGACTAATTAATTATGTTTTGACGGCTTTGTCTAGTGCATTTCCCGCCTCACTTCCATTCTCTTGCTTGGTTTGGCATAAGGGGGCGGATATCCTACGTAACTGTAACACGGGCAGCAACAACAAGCATCTTGCCAATGAGGACGAAGAATTTTGGTTTCAGTTTCAAATTCCGCATGCTCATTCGGGAGGGTTACGCTCCCTGGAGTTATTTCCACACTGGTTCCATAACCGCGTTTCTTTAATCCCTTGTGAGGTTTCTTCGACACAGCTGCTGCAGTTATCAGTGGAAAGGCAATGAAGAGACAGACGGTCACCAGAAGTATTGCGCGCATTGTAAGCTAGCTCCAGAGCCTCAAGGAAAATGTCTTTAAATGTCCTTCTTAGAGCAAACGGCCCAGTGATTGGTACCAGCGTTAATTTGGCATTACTGACTCAAGCGAATCGGTGTGCACCGAAGTGAGAAAGCTCTTTGTGTCACGTACATGCGTGCAGCCTCATTTAAATACCGTTGTGGGCTTTTAGTGAATGTAACTTTTCCTTAAAGAGTTGAATCAGGTTAGCGTGATTAAAGTAAATCCAGAACCACCGCCCACCCAAAAAACAGGAAAATGTAAACTAGATTCGTTGAGGGTAGAAGCATCTTTTATCATGACTCAAAAGCAATAAATTAAACAGAAAGAAGACAAAAATTGTGCAAAAATGCAGGGAGAAATAAATAAAAATAGAAATTGTCTAAAATGTGTAATTTTGAGGCAATAAATCAAAACCTCACAATTAATATTAAAGCCCGTCGTTAAATGTCAGAAAATCCAGGCGCTTTTCACTCCACCAATCATTTAATTGGTAGGATATCCAGTAATGCATTGTTTGTTAAAATACACCTGTTAGGTGGCAAGTGGGCGGATTAGGTGAACCTCGTGGCGCCATCAATCGCTAGGGTGGAGACAATCATTGATCTGGCTCAACAAAACTTAGATCGTTGGCAAAGTCCCACATGCTTTTTGATCCACGAACATAAAGCCGGAGGTGGAAGGTCCAAACTGTGGAAATATCGCATGCCATCCCAAATTGTCAGGGCAATTTTTAGAATATACAGGTTATTTTTGCATAAAAACGTAATGCTTCGGGAATCTGAAGCCGAATTATTAGACCTATAATTATAGAAATGAATTCCTCCAAAATCCTACACTAACAGCTAAATACTGAAATAAAAATGCCAAGTGAATAGGTTAAAAAGTGTCTGCATTTACTTTTTAATCCCAAAAGGCTGGAAAAATTACCATTAAAATATGCACAACATTAGTTCATGCCCAATATTGCACTTTCTGCAGGAAAAGAGCCGAAACGCATTCCTTTTAATAAAACCAACGAGCCTCCTTGTTGTTTACGTTTGCTATGCTGTTCAGAAAAAGAACTCCGGATGAAAAATTGGAGCTATTGGAAAATGCTGGAACCCTTGTTAACTCCGGTACTAGGCATTTAGCAGGAAATATAATGCAAGAAAGGCATCCACCACCATGCAATATAATTATACTGCATCAAAATCAGTCGGTGCTTGCAATGCTTCTGTTGCGTTTGCGCCAAGCAAATTACATATTTCACTTATGTTGCTCCGAACAAGAAAAATACATCGTTTACTTCTGTAATTACCCGTTGCTAGATGAAACACATTGCCTTGGTGACGGGGCAGAGGAAATTTGAACTCAAATGTGTAATCTGAACAAATAATAACTTTAACCTGACAATAGAAAATGTTGTCTTCTTTTACTATTTTGCAAACAATGGAATACGATATGTTCACTGAACTCTCTCTGGATTAATTTCCCCAACGTGGTGCCAAGTCTGGGAATGCTTGAGATTTGTCCTTTTTTGAGTTATAAGTTTAACTAGTAATATGTTGTATACAAACGAATAAGAAAATGCCTCAAAATTTTCTTTACATTTTTCCGCATGTTTGTTTTAATCTGCTAAATCACGTAAAAGTAGCATTACTTTCTCACGTCAGTTGCTTTAAAATTCGTTAAGTACTCTTTTATATTCTGAGTCATTAAATCTTCATGGTGAAAGGTTATAATGGTGGGCTTAAAATTCCAAAAAAAGCTCATCGAAATCCTGAACAAAATAAATTTGTGCTTTCTAATGTGTGAATCCTGCCATTGTTCTGCATGCGTTGTGACTCAATGACAAAAGATGCATGACAAGCGAAGTTTGTAAACATACCACGATATGTTTACCACCATTTTGGTGTATCTTTATGTAAGAATTCTCGATTACATTAAAGGGTAAATAAAAAGGAGGTGGATTTGCGCATAAATGCGTTAATAGTGCTGCCTTGTTGGATTTACTGTGTTAGGCTACAAAATAAACTAGCTGTATACTTTAGTTCTCAAACGTATTTTCCTGCTTTGAAAATATCTTAGTATGTAACAGTCTAAAGTCGAGAAAAGCTTACTTTTGATGATATTTGCTTTTCCGTTACTAAACATGTCACTTGGCTGGAAAAATGGGGGTATTTTCAAATATCTACTCATTTTAGCACAGCAAATAATCAAACAGCCTCCACTTTTGTGCAAGTTAACAGATAAACTGATCTACTTTTAATAGAAAGCAACGACTTCTTAAACAACTGATGATTAACCACCTTTAATTTAATGAAATCCAAATATTACAAAATGGAATTTCTTGCATTATTTTCCCTCAAAATACCTCACCTGAGAAACAAAAAATGGCAGCCAGCAAATGGTAAAGCATCCCATAATAACTCCAAGTGTGGTGACCGCCTTGTGCGTTTCCCCCTTCCCCTGATCCGAGGGCTTGCGTCTTCTGTGGTGTCGAAGCATGGACAAGGGGGACTTGGCATATGCGTACAAACTTCTACTACTCCCGCTCACCTCCAAGGATCTACCATTATTCCCAAGCGCTGATGGCGAACTGTTAATCTTCCTTCCTCTATATGGTCGCCTATTCATTCGCATCACCACTGGGGTAGGTTTGAAAATAACCACACTTTGCCGCGGCTTCGAATCGCCTCTGTTTCCCTTATGCTCCTCCTTTAAATCGGGATAAAGTGCTGAAGCCTTGTAGCTCTCTCCAGCTGCATAAAGGGAACTTCTATTCCACTCTGGAATGGAAGACGATCGGGTTTGTGTGTCAACACTACCCTTGCGTCCTACCTGTGCATCCACTGAGGCCATTTGCTTAGCCAGAACTAATATTTTCCCATAGAGGACTAGCATCACTGTCAAAGGAATGTAGAAAGCTGTCATGGTTGCATAGATCTGGTAGGTCAGCTCCTCACTGTAACCACAGTAGAAGGGGCTGTTTTTCTGCTCCCAACCGAATACAGGTGGAATACTAATTGCAGCAGAGAGGAGCCAGGAGATGATGATCATTATCAACATTCGTTTTGGTGTTCGTTTGGCGGCGTACTGCAGGGGCTTCGTAATGGCCAAATATCGGTCAATTGAGATTGTACAGAGACTAAGAATCGACAGTGTGCAAAGCAACACATCGGAGAGACTGTAAAGATCGCAGATGATTTGATTGAAAGGCCAATAACCGAGGATTTGATATGCAATAGCAAATGGGAGGACAAGAATACTGACAAGAAAGTCGGTCACTGCGAGATTTACAATGAGTAGGTTTGTGGGAGAGCGTAATTTTTTCACAATCAGAATGGCTATAATGACTAGCATATTTCCGCCCGCCGTGCCGAGGAGGAGGAGACCGAGGACAATTGCAAGAATGATGCTTTTAACGTCGATCTCTGCATGAGGTTTGCAAGCAGCGAGAAATGCCTCCTCTGGGATGGATCGGTTGATAAGTAGATCCAACAGAAGTGTACAATTTTCACTCCAGCCCCAGGCTTTGAAGGTTATTGAGGGGTCATTCAATTGACTGGCCATTATCGATCATTTGGGGGTTGGGGCATGGTGATGGTTTTGACGCCTTTGGAAGTAAGTTACTCTCTGGCCAACAAGTCAAATGAATGCACACGCACACAGCAGGCTCAGTGTAGGCCAACGCGTGCAATGTCGGACGCTGGTAATTGGTGGAGGCGCGCATCCTTTTCCCAAAAAATGATTGACCAATCAGAGGAGTCCGGTAAACATAACGTACACACACACACACACACACAGAGGCACAGAGTTGGATAGACCTTCAATTGTTCATTCTCTCTCTCTCTCTGCCTTAGCCTTGACATCAACGCACCACTAACAATGGTAGTGCTGACGACAGCAACAAGTGCGACAGAATTCGTTAGTTTTAAATTAGTTGGAAATGGTGATGTGGCGGGGAGAGGTAGATGGGTTTGCGTACAAATTCAAATAGACACAATTCATCTTGCGTTCTTTTTGTTCATGTGTTAAGAAAAAACACCAAAATCATTTCAGAAAAGCGCAAAAATAAGTTGTGGTTTTCAGTTTATACTTCTCGGTTTCTATCCTTACCGCCCTGTGATTACTTTAAGTTATTTCCTTGGCGGTTAGTTTAAACGAACCAAAAAGGTGATACGCCTAGTTTGTTTAAATAATTCCAACTTATTTCTTTGCAATACTGTAATTCAAATGAGGAAGTCAAACTTGTAAGATAAATGCCCCCCCCCCTAAAGTTGCAACGAGTCAAAGCAGTCCCGAATGGAGCATATTTCTAAAGTACAAAAGATTTAGGCGATTGTTGGCATGGACCGGCGACCGTGGCACAGGGCGGAAGTGCAACCTGCGGAGCAATTGAATTGCCCGAGTGGTGGAAATGGCCATCAAATAACTGCGTAAATAAAACTTGCGTGTTCCAGCCTGTTGTGGGATTCGTTGATGACAAAATTTCAAGCCTGAAGGAAAGGCACTTACTTGCATTGGTTTGAAATAATAAACCGGTGTGATGTATTAGAGGTATCACTAGTTACTCAGCCAATGGAAACAAAGTCTGACCGCCTAAAACCACAGATTTTTATAAATTTCAGCTTAAATCAAGTTCTAGTGAGGCTTATCAGGTGAGTCCAAACTTTTCACAATCAAATGGAAAGCAAGTGGCCAAAAAGGTTTTTTTACTTTAGTATTAGTAATCATTCAGTTTCTGTGCTCCAAAAATTATCCTTTCTTCTCAAATCACAAAAGCACTACAGTCTAGCGGAAACACCTCCTCGGTATTATAAGAGCTGCATGAAAACTTTGGCTGGGATAACATGTTATGCTTTGGGTCTGCCCCTACAACAATTCCAAGTCTGAAAAGAATTAATATGAAGCTGTCACTTAGTTCGCTGGCGCATTATTTATGTCAAACTGTTTGAACCGAGGTTATTGCTTCGCGGGGACCGCGTTTTTGAGTTAGACAGCAAATAAAGAAGCCTTCAGCCTTCCCTTTTCTTGCCCACGAGACTCCAGCTTTGGGTGTGCTTGTGGGCAAGTGCCTATCCTTCGCTCCACAATTATTTTTGTTCTCCTGTCACGCCCGAATGCCTTGAAAGAAAAACTATATTTTTTACGAAAACAGCATATACTGGTAATAACTTAAACTGGATCAAAGCTCACAATTTCCGCAACAATTTTGTTTGGCATTAAAAACTTTACTATTTTAATATGTTTGCTTTAAACAAATATTTTTGGTATTCTTTTAAGATTAGCAAAATCATTCGATGATTCCTTTAAAAAATTTAAAACCTAGAAATTTTGCAATGGGCGTTTCGCCTTGATAAAAATATACTCAAATTGAGCTGTAAGTTCAGTTTTTTGGTTGTTTAAGTGAGCAGTTATTTGCATCCCCACAAAGCCAGACTTTCGACTTTGTGGTGTCGAAAATGTATGACTTTTGATTTCCGTTCAAAATGAGATCATCCTTAGAAAATTACGACTAAAAGGGTTATTTCATGGTTCTAAGGCGAGCTAGAAATATTTTTAAGAATTTTTGAGATATTGAGTGCCATTTTATGAATTGGAATTTGGTCCTTTGATGTGAGAACTGAGTAAATTTTAAATAGGGTTAGAGAGCGGCTTTACATTATACAGAGAAAAAAACTAACTAATGGCTGGTTTATTTTGGCACTGAGTAGAGAGCGAAGAAAGTGGTGTTTTATTTTGTGCGGCTTATTTGCAAGATTCTGTTCTTTTCAATAAAATAAGTTGTGTTCGAAAATTCGGGGCTGACTACAATTAAAAAAGTGAAGTATGTTACGTTTTCAAAAGTTGGAACTGCATGACTTTGTAGTAAATCTGGAATTTTCCTTAATGAAAATGCTGTCCCATGTAATTGAACTTTCAAATTCAAGTGATCAAATTTAGACAAGTGGGTGTTTTATTCTAAGTTAAATGTTAGTAAAATTGGGGCAATTTTTAGGTGATTGAGAAATTTGCTGTCTGCTAAAAGAATTAATGATACTAATTTGTAGTTCCGTTGTTTTAAGTTTGGTCAAAGAGGACTGAGTTGTTAAATTCTTGCCACCATGAATTGGAATAAGTACTTATAATGTAGAATTTAAAACAATTTAATTTGCCTCAATCTAAGCACTTACACGTACACTCCTTGTATTGTGTTGAGAAGTGAGAGTTTTAAAAAATGGCCAAGTAATTGGACGACAATCGCCTCTCAAGGGATGTCGCATCTTTAAGACTCCTTAAGTGTGGCGTGGGAGTACTATGGAGGTTAGCTTTGCAGCTTCCTACCGTAGCCCTTAACTGCCGATTGGGAGATACTTCAATCTGAGCAGACAATGTGCTAAATCTTGTTCGGAATTGCCTCTGATGTTCTGCTGAAGCCATCTGCGAAAGTCCTCCTCACCTCACGTACAGCGGCCGGTTACACCTTGGAATGCCAAAATGCTTGACAAAATGGTCAAAATCCTGGCTACTTTCGTAGTAGACGGGCCTGGACATCGCGCTAGCCCACAACAACAATACGACAACCACAACGACAGTGTCTGCTGCTGACGTAGCACTGCCAAAGCACTATAGCTTCCACTTCGGGGGAGAAGGGGGGATAAAATAAACATTCCATGCTTCCTCTGCTCTTACATATATATATATGTAGACGCAAATTTATGAATCCATAAAGAGCGAACTTTAAAATATTTTCCGTCTTGAATTTATGGAAATTTCAGGCGATAATGCTTTCGGACAGAAGCTTACTTTAAACAAATAAATTTTTTGAAATAATTCGCCTTGTTTCGAGTATTTCGGTACAGTTTTCCATGCGCATTGGGAAGTATAGACTTTTAATTTGCACCCAAGTTTACTACAAAGCTCTCCGCTTTTTAAGCCTTTTCGAAATTTCAAATTATTTATTTAAAGGTTTAAAAATGGTAGGTGAGCATGTGCAAAATTATCTTTGCGACTACAAAGTCGGTAAATCTTGTCAAGACTGGTGCGAAATGAGGCACCTGAGACGGCAGCAGTAAAAACGCAATTTTAATTTTTGTTAGGAAAGATTTCAATGCTTCTTTTAGTTGTTTAACTCCTCGGGCACCAAAGGCTCCGCCATTGTACCTCAGCTGGGCGGAATGACCTCCGGGGCACGGCGGCAATACATCTCCTGTCCGGGTATTGTGACTTCTCTCAGCTTCAGGAAGAACTTTGGCCGCTATGTTTGTTGGGGAAAGATTGTGAAATCGTCTTCTTACTTATGTGCTCCTTGTTTGAAATCTTCACAATCTGAGAAGTTGTTTAAGTCCCTCAAAACGAAGTTACAATATTCCGTGTGTTAATTTCGCCTTATGTGTCCATTTTAGTCATTCTAAATCTATCTTCTGCTAAAATAGGTGCGCCATTTTTAAATCCGCCGAATTTAGCCTCAGAGGGTATTCAAAACAGACCGCCGACTAGGCTCGCCCTCCCTCACAGATAAAATACAGAAAACTCTATTGAATTTGAGCAATTCAAACTTGTTTCATGAGGTGGATTGGCGCCTTGTTTGAAATTTGGAAAGTTTAATAGTTTTGTGTTACGTATACCCAAGCTCTGTCATCTTCAGTCATTTCTAACTTGACACCCTTTTATAAGGTAGGCCATTTTCCTAATAAAGTAGTGCATCAATTCGGACACAGACATTGGTAACTGGATGTTTTAATGCATAGTTAAGAAATGGGAGGCTTTTATAACTAACTTAATTTTAAAAAGTTCTTAATCTTCATATTTTAGCATTTATCTAATGATTTGGAAGGAGGACAAACTTTTTCAATTTGTCATATCGCTTTGTCCAAGTAATTGATAAGGTGTTTTCATTAACTGACTTTGCACCGGTATTTTTATTCAAAGTAAGAGACGTATCTTTTTTGGATACAGAGCAAGGTTTTTTAAATCACCACACCGTGGAGATTTCACGCTAAATTTTCATGGTAAAACTTGTCTTTTTACCACTTTGGTACGGCGCTTGCGTCGCACAAACACAGACATCTAGATCCTGCCAACCCATCCTTTCCCTGCCGAGCAAGTCGTGGTTTTTCTCCCTTAATGAGGGTGAAGTCACATTTTGGCCGATAGCGATGCAGAAATCATAGAGTCTACTAAAATGTATCTAATTCTGCGACAGTGTGTTGTCAAATCAAGGGGGAAGGTGGGAATAAATGGCAATGACATGCGGCAGCGATAGCGATCTACTTTGAGGCTCCGCCACCGTACCTCAGCTGAGCGGAATGGCGGTAGCCCCTAAGCCCTTCCGCACGGTGGTAATACATCCCCTGTCCGCGTATTATAACTTCTTTTAATTTTAAGAAGAATTTGAGACGTTACATTTGTTAAGAGATGATTGTGAAATTTTCTGCTTACCCGTGTACTCCAGGTCTGAAATTTTCAAAATTTGAGAAGTTAAGACCCTCAAACCAAAGCTACCTCCGACCACAATCTTCTTCGCATTACCAACACCTAAAATGTCTCCTTTGGCCATTTGAGATCTGTCCTTTGCTTAAATAGGTGTGCCATTTTGGAATCTGCTAAATTTAGCCACAGAGGGTACTCGAAACAGGCTGCCGACTGGACTCTCCCTCCCTCACAAATGAAATGCAGAAACCTCTGTTTAATCGAATCGTCCAAACTTGTCTTAATTGTCATTCTCGTTTTCTGGGTAAAAAAAGACGCGCTTTATTAGAAATCTATAAAGCCCAGTAGATTAATCGTGCATATTTGTTTTTGGTCAGGACCTGCCATCTTCAGGCACTTCTGACTTGACGCCTTTCTAAGACAAAGCCGCCGGTAATCTCTTGTTTTAATGCACAGCCAAGGAATAGGAGGCCTTTAAAACTTACCACGCTTTAAAATCTTCTTAACCTTCCTATTTTTAGGATTTATTTAAGTGCTTAAAAGGAGACTAATTTTTTTCGATTTGTTATAGCTCGTTGTCCAAGTGGTTGGCAGGATGTTTGTGCTAACAGACTTTGCACCAAAATGTTTATTTGAAGCAAGAGACATGCCTTTTTTGGTAATGGTGTAAGATTTTTAAAAACTAACAACTCGTGGAGACCTCATGCTAATTTTTCATAGTAAACTGTCTGCCATTTAGGTGTGGTACTTGCGTCGCACAAACACAGATGTCTAGATTCTGCCAACACCCTCCCCCCACCCCGTCTTCCCTCACCAAAAAAGTGATTTTTTTGCTTTAATGAGGTTGAAGTCACATTTTGGACGGTGGTGATGTGCGAAACTCAAGAGTCTACTAAAATGGTGTCTAATTTTGCGACGGTGTGTTGCCAAATCAGGAGGAGGGGGGAAGGTGAGAATAATTGGACATGACATGCAACAGCGATAGCAATCAACTTTGTGGTGGTGGAAGGACTGTCGCAGCCTGCAACTTATTTATCATAATAATATAGTGTCGTAGTGCCTTGTTTAGCTGGGTGTGTGTGCATATTTGACTACGCGGGTACTTCAATCGCCACGGGCTGTACTTCTGCTCTGCCGAGTGGCCTTCGGGCTCCTGCTCGAAGGCTCTTGATGAAGGTGAAGAGCCGAAGTGCGAGTTATTTGTACACACCCTCTACATTCTACTGCTAGATTGGTGGCGTGTTACTCATTTTCTCCTTCCCTTACTTCTTTTTGCTTTAATCCAACTTTTTTTCAAAAATTGGCACCTTTTGTTTATCAACAAAGGGGAAAGTTTATATTTAGAATTAGCCCTAAGAGACTGTGTTATTCTATGTGTTGGTTTTGTCCTACGGCCTAAATACGACAAAGTTGAGCTTATCAGGCAAAAGGGGCTCATCTTTCTGCCAATCGCTGATTGTAGGAGGAATTCGCCTAATGACGAAACCAGTTAGACAAATGAGCTAGCTATAGACGGGGATGCCATTTAACACCATATTTTACCATGGATACCATCTTTCAACCACCCAGCTGCATACTTTAGACAGCTTTGTCTTTCTGTTTGGGTCTCACCTCAGTTTGTAATGTCCGTGTTAGGAGAAAACAGTGTGAAGTGACTTACAAGTCTCGAGGCCGCTTTTTACAAAGGACTTCTCCTGCCAGTGCAATCAGGAGCCTTGTCCCCAACTCCTGCTATCACCGTATCACACAGTCGTAGCAGAAGACTTTTCCAAAGGTGTTGATCTGGCCATTGCTTGATAACGAGGGTCCGGAGAATCCGATGGATCGTGAGTCAAAGTGACAGAAAAAAATTTTTTAACCTATTTTGTTCTGCAAGGCAAAAACTTTGTTATTGTCTAATCGGAGGAATAGAACTTGATTTTTAAGTTTTGCTTTTGCATTTATTTCAATTTTTCCCCTGCTAATGACGATTAGCTAATTCTTGAAGTCATCTTTGCCAAATTTTGCTCCTCACTTGGGCATCAAAACTTTGGCATTCGTCAGTCCGGGCCACTCTTTGACCCGAGTGATGGAGATGGATGATTGGCTAGCTTAAAAAGCCTGCTTAAAGTAAACAACGCTGTCATGGTTATTTTAAATTATCTTAAATGTCCTTCATACGGAGGACGCTTTCAGTGATTGATTGCAGCGTGAATGACATGATCCCTCGATTGGGGTGACCTTCATCTAGTCTAGTAGGGAAGGAGGGAGGTGGATGCTTACCTTCGCAACTGTGGAATGCTGTTGTGAAGGTCATTTTTGTGGATCTCATTTAAAGTGATTTATGATGGTTTAGGCACAGACTTTTAGATGAATATTTTATTAAGGAAACCATGTAACTACTTCAAAGTTTAATGAAATTAGCAGGAGATCGCCCTCGAAAAAACTGGAGACTTTTTTATTTGTTCCAGAAATTGAAATTTTACGGGCAATACTATAGCAATTCTGTCTCAAACATTTCATTACCTGAGGGGAGGAGGGTGGAGAAGAGAAGAAACCACTTTACAACTTTTTGTTTCATTGAGGTATATCAGAGTGACATCAGGTTAAATTTTCCCATCACCTAGGTCACCACGCTGGTTCTACGTCAATCCGGTCCTGTTTTTTTGTTAAAAGTCAGATAGCAAACCCTTTGTGAACCTTATAATAAGGTTTTGCTTAGACTCACATCTCTTAATGTCCCTCAAAGGGATTGAAATGCTTCACCACCAGTACATACATCCTAGCAGTTCTGTTTCATTCCATCAAAGATGTGCATCGCTCACCCACCTACGCCCTTAGTCCGGTCTCCGCGGCGGTATGATCTCCTGCCCGTGGCTGCACCCCTTTAGCCTTTCTGCCTTATCGTCCCAAACCATCACGACTTCAGGGGAGCCCAGCAGCGCTGCAATACTTTCGAAAGGTAATCTCCTAATCAAACAGATGAACGCACTTTTGTCGTCATTCGTTCCGAGTTCCAGCCGCTGAGTACACAATGCCATGACTTGCTCTACAATGTCCACAACTGTTCCATCTAGTGCCTAAGCTAAACCTCTTTTTAATATTTTCTTTCCACTAGTGATATTTCATGAAGAGTTGGAGGGGTGTATTTTTTTTACGGTAATGCTGTGTAACCTTTGAATTCGCCTTCAAGTCCACGTTCGGTGGCATTTCCCTCGAAGGCGATTCCGCGTCGCGCGGTGCATTTAGTCACATCTAGATTTAGGAGTGCCCTTTTTCAAATTTGGAAGGAGACATTCTAATTTTTTAACTCGTTCTTTTGACTTTATAAAGTAATTTCTAAAGGTACATTAGTTCGTTCTTGTTTAAATCTCTAATTTTAAAGTCCACGTGTTTGTTAATTTAAACGGAGTATTTAACGCCTTGACAGTGCGATAAAACAAAGACTATTGAAAAGAAATGGGCAAAAAATAATTGTTAAATATTGAGTTGGTGCAAAAGAATTTTACTTTTAAAACAGAAAATGCTTTCATCAGGGTGCATGGGAGAGAGGAGGAAGAGAGATGCACATCACTTATGCTCAATTAGGCAGCTCTGCATTCAATGGAAGGAGATTTGTCCAGCCAAATAAATTAGTCCAACGCCCCTGACAGTTGGTGCTACTCACTTAAGTGAATTCAGGTGAAAGGGCGACCATGAATTATTCATCTCTCCTGCGGGTGTAGAGATCACAAGTGGGCGAGGTGTTAGCTCAGGCTTTTGCTGCTAGAAGGCAGTAAGGCATTCCTGCTTCTTTGTAATTCAACCAAAGCATTAGTTTACACCTCTAAAATTACTTGTCGTTAGACCTCACTGCTGCACAGTGAATGTTGATTTGGTTATCACCCAAGTAGCCCTCGAAGTGGATGTCCCGACTGGGCTATCTCAGCCCCTCCCTGAAGGTAATGCTCGCACCGCCTTTTGCTCTGAACACGCGGATAGGCCGCTGGGCTGTCAGTAGGAAGGACATTTGACAGACCACCATCACATCATGATGAGGACTGTGGGAAGTGAGAAGCCCGCTTTCTGTTATAGAGGAGAAGTAGATTTAGGCTCTGTGTTACTACCTTCATTTCCATTTGGACTCTCATTATAACAGCTTGCTTGACAGAGGTGGGCGTGATTGGAGTCTATCTGCTTTATTAAAGGTGTTTGTGTCTATTTCCAAAGCCTCGGAAGCCAACTTCTGGGGAAGGTGCACCATGCGTTAGCAGAACACACCTTCCTGAAGTGGTAAAGAATAATTTAACTTTGGTAATATCCTACTAAAATCTGCATAATATCACAGTCAGGAAGGTGCTCTTTACCCCCAGTACAATGAGGAATTGTGTGGATTTTATGTTCAGGCGCTCTAAGCTAATGAACACGTCATTAGTTATCCCCAAGCGATCCACTCACAACCAAAAAATTTCGGAGTCACGCATAAATTTTACCTCCGGGTGACTGCTTGCCTTGTGTGTCATGTGTGGATGGTGGACTGCAAAAGAAAAGATTTACTATTTGAAGACCAAACAACCATTACGGCCAAATTTTATGCCCTCGAGACCGTATAACTCAGAAGTTGTGTAAAAAATTACCCAGAATGTCCTCTCCTTTGAGGAAGGGCAATGCTGCCTCATCTTCCATTCCCTGCATTACCATCATCTGGGCAGTTGGATCATAAAAGGGGAACAGAAATCGAGGTTACTGGGGAGCGGGTTTGGTGTAGTCAATTAAATGTCTGTAGTTTTGCATATGCAATACTGCCAGAAGGTGATTAGCAATGATTGATAGCCAGTTACTTCCGTTCAAGTGGTCAATGACCCGTCAGAACGGGGACAGTCTAGCACGAAATCACACGCACACATCTGCAGTGAAAATCTGTTTCAAATTCACGCTTTCATTTTCTTTCCCCCAAACAGTGTTTCTGTCTTATTTGTCTTTTGGTCGCTTTATTAAGTGAATTTACCTGATTGATGTCTGGACGGAGTGTCACAACTGTATCGCATGCATCAGTTGATGTGTCATTGGCGCGACACTGGCAACAAATCTGTTAAGTGTGGTCTCAGCGACCAGACACTCGGTGCAATGCGACAGTTTTTTAACTCTTAGTTATAAAAATGGAGGTACAACATGCACATTTACCTCATACAAAAATTTTATAAAGCCATTTTTATTTAACGAAGGAATGGTGCTGATCCACCTTTATTTACGATGGCCTCAACCGCTACATTTGACGCTAGTAGTAAACCAACCATCCCGGTTCGAGTGACTCGTAATTCGACGCAGGTGCGAAACCTGAACGTCCACTTCTGACAGTCATCTAGTATAGCAGCTTTTTCCCTCTATGGTGGTTTACAACTAAGGCGAGACCGTTTGAAAGGACTCGCAAATATCCTTAGTAGAGCCTTCCACACTGTGGACAGAGGAACGAATACCAAATGCAGCCTGATGTGGCAGCTTCGGCTGACTCAGCTTTTAGGCATAGGATCCTGGTAGCTGTGATTGGCAGATGACATGTGCTCCCTGTGGAGTATCGAATTGTCCCAAGTAGGTTAAATCAAGTGATTCGCACAATTCCGTTCCCTAGGCGTGGTCAAAAATCACCTTACCCTTAAGGAAAATCAGCGCATGACTCTCGCTTTTTTCTCGTGAGGGTGCCACAAAGCGCCGACTACTCAGACATCCCTGAGATCCCTGTGTGAAACATCTGTAAAGAGGGGTTGTCATCTCTTCTAGTCATTACTAAGGGCCGCAGCGCCTTCCAATCAAATATTATAACAACTTCAGGTTTTTTGGTACATAATCATTCGTTGTAAAAAAATAATTGATTGGTACTTGATGTCAATAGGTTAGCCCCCAAGCCTACATTGAAGGATGTAAAAGGTGCACACAAGTGTTCACGATACCCCATTCTCAAGTACTTATTCCTCGAACAAAAGTGTACCTCGTTGGCAGTAGCAACGAACTGCTCAAATCTAAAAACAATGCCTTTTTTGCAGTTCCGCCTTTTTTCCTTCCATCTACCCTCCCCTCCTCCTACCTTTTCCTTGGATATATCACTAAAATGCCAGTCACATCAATAAGTCCGCCGGACTGGCTTGTTTTGGCAATGGTGGGCTATTCGCTGATTGGTTACTGGAAACAGAATTGACGTGTCTGAGGTTAGCGGATCGGGCTAGACCTGGATGTCGGGTTTCGCCGGAAGGGACAAACGTTGTCTGTGTCAGAGCATGGCCTTTCTCAACCTTGAAGTGTCATTGTACCAGTTTTGTTCTTTTTTCATTCTTTCCAATATGCTTCATTTCCATTTCGTAATCAATAAGTGTGACGTGTGGGTGTCACGCAAGGTCAGAGTGTCATCTCCACGTGGCACAACGAATGCTGATCCTCCAAATCACCTCAGTTGTTGGTGTCAGCTGAAGTGTTATCTCATTCTTATTTCTTTTACCGGAGGGGCTAAATTTTGTCTTCATTTTCCCTTGCCGCAAAAATAGCAATTAATTCACGATATCCCAAGTTTCTTATCTCCAACCCGTAGGCATAAACGTCGCGACGCTGTCAAGTAATTTGACCTTCAAGTCATGAACGCCAGTTCTCGAGATCAATTGTACCTTTTAATCCAGCCACCCTTACCCCAGGACGAGGTCAAATAGCGTGTCAGTCAAAAATGCCCACGCGGCACACTCACATTTGAGCATTTATTACTCCTGTGGAGCAGTAATGGAGAAAAAAAACTTCATTACAAAACTTTTCATGCGAATCCTTTCCCCCCTCTCTCTCTCGCCTCTAGTTACCCCGGCTACCATTTCCGCTTCATCCTCACCAGAGAGAGGAAAATGGGTCACGAGGAGCAAAGGGAGAGATTTTACAGAAATTTGAAAAACCAAGTACAAGAGGTCTCTTTTTTGCGGACGGATATAGAGAGAGATAGAGAGAGGGCGGGGAGAAGAAACGACGTGAAGTAATTTTCTATTTACCGCAACGAATGTGGCATCACACTAAAAGAAACAAATATGCACTGGGACATGGGGGCAGAGCAAGGTGGGGGGGGGGGGGGGAGGGCTCTCATGAATGCTGACAAATGAATTAATGTAGGAGGCGGGGGGCTACAGACCCCAAAATGAAGTGCATTTGGGTGAATAATAGAGGGAGAGAAAAGTAGCAAGCACGGATAAAATACCGCTGCTACAGATTGTGAACCGATTTGAGGAGCCTTTTTCGAATTGTCTAAAATATACCCAAGAAATGCACAATAAGTGTAAATAAATTTAAAGGACGGGCGTGTTAGACTGACAAGTTTTTTTTTCTTAGCAAATCACCTCACTATATTGCTTCATTCGTGCTCGATTAGTGAAAAGGTTACTCTTCTTTTGGACTTGGAATAACCGATGCGCTTCATAGGGTGCAAGTAACTTTCTACAACGCTAACAAAGACAATGAGAAAAAACAATTTGGGAAATTGAAAAACAGATCATATGCTCTTACCTGTTTGATTTCTTGAGCTTTTTCGGCCTTGTTGCACCTAAACAAGGAAGGGTGGTTAATGCCTAGTCAAATCTATCGGTTAAAACATCGCGCTTCTGCTTCCCGAATGTGAAACAATTTAGGAAATTTCTGGCTTGTCAAGAGTTAAACCTTCAAAAGACTCCACAGCCCCGGTAAATAGAGCCTTCTCTGACGACTCAATAGGAGTTTGTGCCTGACGAGGCTGTCCGTGAGGACTCACAACTGGAAGACTGTTAAAACAATGCCTTCAATTTAAATTCCAAGTAAAACCAAAGCTCTCAATTTCGAAGACGTAGAAGGTAACTACCGAGGCTGGAGTAAATATCCACTCCGGATACCGTTAAACTGGAAAGCAGACAACAATGGTAGTGCGGACATAAAAGAGTGGCTAAAGCCGGAAAATTTGAGTCCCATGGATGCCTTAGTATAAAGGAGACCTCGAGCTTTGTAGGGTATGGTGCGATGGTAGGCAGTCCAGTACCTCGTACCAAGAGGGTGCCTCTGGGCGCACAACATTGAAGGCATTTCTGTGAGTATTTAACAAGTGGAGCGCCTGATCAATCCATAATCTGGTGTATGATGAAATGACACAAAAGCAAACCGATGACCGGTGTTGGACAGTAGACACAACTCAATAATTCCAACTTCGAAGAGATGCCGCAAACTGGGTGCCAAGGCACGGATGATGAGGTGTAACAGATGGTCTGGACGTAGTAACAAGTATTTGTTTAGTGTCAAATTGTGTAAGTGTAGTAAAAAAACCTTTGTTTTCTTTCTAAACTCAAAAGCCTCGGTGTGACGTTGAACGCCTCCCATAAGTAAACAACTTGCAGTGAAAGATGAAGCAAATTTTAAATCCCATTATATAGCTGCAGGAATAGCCCAGATAGTTGCCACGGTGACATTAAAATGACAACGAAAAGCAAAGGAGGAATAAAATTAGGCCAAAATTCCGAGGGACGACCTTATTAAGGTGTGTTGCCCCTTAAGTAGATTGCGCTTCAATGCAAGCTTTCCAACAAAAGGCTTGATTGGCATGTGCAAGAGTCTTATGGTAGAAATTTTGTCCAGCATAAGGTGGCACTATTTTACTAACTTCCAGCACGACAAGAGAACTCTATCGCAACCTACACACTGCAGCCCGGGTACTGATTTCGTAG